CGATGCACGAGTCTGCAGCCTGTTTCTTAGATCGGCACTCATACTGTATGTGAGCTTTCACTAACTAACTAACTAACTAACTAAGTTCTCCTATTATCGGTTAGGTAGGTCTGGAATAGGAGGGCTACACTTCTGCATGAGATCTGCATGCCAGTCAGTTCCTTTGATGTCGGCGATCGCCGTGGCCATTTTGGCGCGAAGGCTATCGCCGACGGATCCGGGAAGGATCTTTTTGAGCGAAAGGTGTTCTCTAGGGCCTGGGAGCTTAGGTCTTGAGCCATGGCCTCTTGGGGAGATGACCAGCCTGCTCAGGCGGCTCAGGGCCAGGGCTACGACGACGGTCGTGGTCGTCGAGGCTACGGTCATGGCGGCGGCGGTTGGGGTGGCTATCGCCACCGCGACGATCGACGGAGGGGCGGTGGGGGTCAGTTTCCCCAGGCTGCTCACAATCCGTATGACGTTCGTCTGCCACATTTTCTCCAGTCTATCGCGGAATGCGAAGATGATGCGAGAAAGACCTCGATCATTATGGTCGACTCTCGCGACGAGAGGATCGTTTCGCCGTTTCAGGCGTGGCTGGTCAAGGAGATTATGACAAACAGCTCTAGCTCTGTCAACGTTCTGACAGAGCGGGACCAGGTCATGCCTCCCAACTCGGGCTACCACATGTCGCTCTTCGCCAACTATACGTTGGATGGGATCAAGGCCACGATCGCGGTGTCGATCGACTCCCAGACTGGTGCTCCGTGTGGCGGCTGGGATGATATGACCGCTCGGGCCTTGAGTCACGTGGCTTTTCAGCCTTTCACCTGGCCGGTGCTCCGGGACACATCGCCGTCGTACACCGACGTCAAGATCTGCAACGGCAACGAGATCCTTTTTCACTGGATCTTCCGGGGCTATCGTGCAGACACGGACCTTTCGGTCCAGCAGCAGTTCGCGGATGAATACTTCATTCGAGGCACTCGCCAAGGACGAGCTCGCCTGTCTGTGGTGGTGGCTGCCTTCTCAGGATGGAGGGTCTCCCTGTTCTCGTTCGAGTGTGGTGGTCGGACCTACTCGATCGGACCCAATGGCACGGTGATCGCCGGGGACAGCGCGCGCTCACGCGTTGAGCTCCGTGTGTCCGATCGGTCCTCAGAGGATGCCGTGGGACATGATGCTGACAGGGTGGAGTTTCGCTATCGCGACTCCAACAACCGCATCGATCTCAAGTGCTCTCGCACATCGGTGCCGGCGACATGGCTCACAGTGTCGCACATCAGTGGGCCGACTTTGATTCAGACCATCTCTCGATGCCGTGATCAAAGGGCACGAGTCGAAGGTCCGGAGCAGACGGAGCAGTTCGCCCAGCTTGCTGCAGCTCATCAGGGCTGGTGGCATGATGCGGCGACGCTCGACCCTAGCCAGGTCGGGGTCCGGGTCACTTTCGTGGCTGGACTCGATGCCGGGAACTTTCACGTGCAGACTGAGAGCAAGCTCTTCGTGAGGGATCCCGAGGTCGTGGCTACAAAGGCGCTCGCCGAGATGTCGCACGATGGTGGTGCGATCGCAGCAGTGCCTCGTCGGCCGCCGGCGCTCGCTCAATCTGCATGGTCGGCCGCGGCAGAGTCGGCGAATGCGCTCGCTGACATTCCCTCGGGCTCGGGGGAGTTAGCAGTTCGTCGTCGTGCTCAAGACGACCTCAACACCCGCACGTTCGCGGCGGCGGTCGATCCGATTAACTATGATCAGAACGACGAGGAAGACACTCGCGGGCATATTTCAGATCCTGTCCGTGATCAGGCCCGGGACGACCGATCTTTCTCAAGATCTACGGCGAAGTTGACGGCCACATGAAACAGGATGATGTTGACGACGACGACGACGAGGATGATGATGATGATGATGATGATGAAAGCGAAAACGAGCTGATACTTTGGCATTTTGGTACGATGCACGCCAGGCCAAAGGAAAGGCATACAAGAATAGATGAGTGTCCAAGCGGTGTAGGGGAGAGCTTCGTTGGACGGAGCTCCCATACACCCCCTCCGGGGCGTGACCCCCTTAGCCCATGAACTACAAGTAGGACAGTGCACCCACACCCTCAAATGCATGACGAATCGGTTCTTGTCAGGTTGACTGCTTTCGCTGCGGTCCTGTTAGCTTCTTGGCACAGAAGATCCCATGACAAAGTGGATTTCCTGCCGGAAACCTCGTTACTTGAAAAGAATCCGTGCTGTGACACTCGCTAGGCAGCGCAGCTTTCGTGGGCTGCGAAGATTGCTGCCAATGCCGGGAAGCCAGCATCACAGAGTGTTGCAATCCACGCTTGCTGTTGTATTCGTTTCAGGTTGAAGGCCATTTGCGGCCGCATGCTCATCGGCAAGACCCGCTGCACCAGGCTCCCACATCACTGGCAGAAGACAGTCCTTTGCATGCGACGCATGTGCTGCTTGATGTGTCCTGCGCAACGACTTGCGATAGCGCGCTTGGAAGGTCAATGCTCAACCCTTGCGGACAACAGCCAGGGCCCTGACCGAACTCCGCATAGAAATGCTATGTATACGGTCCTTCAATTTGAAGACCATGTTGAGGTGAGCACCATGCACTTGTCCAAGAAAGTCGCTGTCGGAGCTGACAACGAGGCAGAGCGTAGATGCGCCTCATCTTTGCCAACCCATACTCGGCGGCACACAAAGGACAGGGTTTCCGCATCAGCAGAAGCTTCGCCAGGTTGCAGATGGCATGATAAATGCATTCGCCAAGAAGGCATGTGCCGGAGTTGAGGGGGCTGAGACTCGCTGGCCATCAGGGGACCATCGCATTGGTATGTTATATGTTCACGTCAGGGCGACGCCGAGAGCTTCGTGTCCTTTTCAAAACGAGATGATGCAAACAAGCAGGAGCTGTTGCTGATTTGATTGCTCAGCTTGTTTGTCTTGCTGGTCTTGCTGTCTAGTCTACAGGAGTTTGTGACGCCTTCCAGAGAATATAGCATCCAGTGCACAGCCCAAGCATCTACCGTGGATCCATGAATGTTATGCATTGCTGTTCGCACTAGCAGACCTGCCATCAAAGGCTGGACAATCACCTGAATGTGCAGTACAGCGGTCGCTTCACAGTAGGAGACTCCGGCTGCATCTACATAGCGGGATTACATGATCCAAGTTTTTATCGTTCTTACGGACCTGTCACTCTAGCTCGGGTTCACGGGTTCGGGGTCTGCAAATGCACTGTGCTGCAGGCGAGCAGGAGCTTCCAGTTATCTACGACACGGGGTCCTTTGAGGAGCGCAAGCCATCGCAACGTTGTGTCGTAGTTCAAGCTTCCCTATGAGCCGGTATTGAGCAGGTGCTGGTCTTGTCAACGAAGTGCAACACATGCGTGAAGACCCTTTCTATGCCACTTGCCACACAACAGATGTTAGAGGACCTTGCCTGTTGTACGCAAAGCTCAGCTGACGTTCCCTGCATGTGTTGGAGGTATGACTACAAGAAGTCGAGCTCCTTTAGGGATAGCCCCAAGCATGCCAAGGGCCTATCCGTTCTTGCAGCTTGCTTTGACAACACCTCAGTTAACAGCATGCAGCATGCTGCCTACGAGTTAGGTCGTTGCCGAGCATGAGTTCGTGAGTGGAGATGTGGTTACAGCAGAGGCCAGTGGACAAGTACATCCTGTTTGCATTAAAGCAACTGATCGCACTACTTGAAGCATCTCTACCTGATTTGTTCCGCAGCGGAAGGGCTTCGAAACACTTCGTTTAGGCAGACGAGGCTTTGTTGCATCCGACATTCCGGGCATTTGAGTCTAAGTTGTTTTGTAATAGATCTTTGACACGAGATACGTCAAGTCGGCCAGCCGAGGAGACTCTCCCGTGGCGGCCTCCGATATGACCTTCTGGATGGTGCAAAGCCACGAGTTGAAGTTCTGGAAGACCGGGCATGCTATCGGCTCAGAAAAGATGAGGCATTCGCTACTCAGCTCTGCTGTGACCAGCCACCTTCCCAGCACTCAGGCAATTTTTTCCGGAATTGTTGGTCTATCTCATGTGAGCCTTGGTCGGCCTTTCACATCATACTGATAGCCTTGCGGTCACGAGACCATGTGTTATCCTCGCCATTTAGCTTCCTGGATTGTCGAGTTTTGCATCCTACCGCTGGATGAATGCTACCAGAGGAAGAGAATCCCTGATGGCTTCAGCGGCGATTCCAGCGAAGACAGGTGACTCTCACACGATTGAGTGCAAGATGCAGAATTCTTCGAGTCCATTAGCTGTAGTGGCATGCAAATCGCGAGCACATGCGACGGATTCGGGCGTCTACCATTCGAGACCTATCGAGACTCTTTGCAGCTGTTCGAGACTCTCTTTTCCCTTTTTAAGCGGTGGGTCGGCGTGGGAGGGATCGCTAACCCACGAATTCCAACACTGCACAGCCGTTTAAGCAGGGCAAGCAGCAAGAGTCTTTAACCTTTGTGCTTTAACCTCAGATGTGCAAGTTTCGAGTTGGGGAGGGCAGGGTTCAAGAAAGGCTAGCGCAGGGTGTGGGAAGAGACACTGTGGCGAAACACAGTGTGGACCCAGATGCTCGCAAGACCGCATAGAGAGGTGCGATGTCAGAGGCCCCGCCCCCGCAGCACTCCAAATACGACTCGGCCTAAGTTCTGTGTGAGCCAGGTCTCTCCTGGAGGAGATGCGCCTGGACTCCTTCGCGCTTTGCTACCAGCGAGGTGCCTTGAGGAAAGTGGATGGCAAGCGGCGCAGACGTGCTCTGTCTGTCTGTCTCTCTCTCTCTCTCTCTCTCTCTCTCTCTCTCTCTCTCTCTCTCTCTCTCGCTCGCTCGCAGGTGGCACCGCGAGCCCGGGCTGGTTGAAGCGCCTCGGCACCGATTCGGTAGCAGCGACGCACGGTACGTGTGTCTGCACCCAGGCTGGGGCCATCCATCAGCGCGATGGCTCACGATGCAGGACACCAGAATCAGAGCGCCACGAAGGGTGCACCGCCTCTCCTCCCCTCGTCCAGGCTTTCAGTCCGTGGATGTTTCTGGAGACAGCCACTGGGCAACAAAGCTTTCACAGTTCAAGGCCCGGCCGGTGGAACTGCCGTGGTCACTGCCGCGGCGGCGGCCAAGGGAAGCGCCCCCTCCAGGTGGACCTGGATGGCATTGACACGACGAGCCTCTGCAAACCTTCCTGCCGGAGCCTCGTGGGGCCTCGCGCATGCGTGTGCGCGCGAGGCGCGCGCGTGCGCGCGCGCGTGGGGGTGGGTGGGTGTGTGTGTGTGTGTTTTGCGCTTCGAGGTGGGGCTCTTATCGATTCTGGCACGTCGCTCTTGACTTTCCCACGCTCTGCAAGCCACATTACGGATGCCTTGAAGCAGAAGGCGCCGTCCGTTTAGCACAGTCTCAGGTTGGGGAGACAGGGGATGCTTCGTTCCATGAGGTGAGAAAAGATTGCAGCAACTTGGATCAGCTGCCGACCTTGTATTTCGAGCTGGACGGAGCAGAGGTGTGCGGTTCCGCTCCGCTAGGACCGCTAGGAGAACTCGGATCATGTCCCCGGTTCAGGTGGTTCTCCCACCCCGGGCATACATTTTCAAGGCCAGGTGTGTCGTGGAAGAGGCTGCATCACTGTCGCCCCGTCCCAGGTTCTGGATAACAATGGCAATCCATATTGCAGAGGGGCGTTCATGAAGGTGGATAAGGAGAGCTGCAAGAGCATTGCTGCGTTGGAGGCTCTTGAGCTGCCTTTTCCGGTGGCTGACCAAAGGAGTCACAATTTGGGGAGGTCTTCATTTTGGGCATGCCGTTCTTACGCTATTATTTCACGGTTTTCGACCGGCAGAACAAGCAGGCCCCTTGTCACTTTCAAGAAGGTCGAGAAAGCTTTATATGGTGTAGAATCCGGTGGGAATGGGCAAACATACAGGTTGGAAGCTGGTTTCGGTTCCGAATTCGTTGAGGCAAACCGATGGGTGCACTGATGATCTCAATTGAAAGTCCCTGCCCGTTCCAAAACAGTTCACTCGCCCTTTGGTTGTCGGCCTGGAATTTCGTGGAGTAACAAGGCGACAAATAAATCCATCCACCGCGAACATCTGTTAATCGCCATTCCTATCCGGCGAGAGTAATGCATTGCACGCAGTGCTAACAATATCAACCTAGTGTTGCTGGCAGGAGACTGGGTTCCTCCCCTGATCTGTGTCCGTCCTCCCGTCAGCTGTTCTTTCACAACACTTTTCTCTCGGGTTTCCTGTTCCCCTGGCTCCCTGCCCACTGCTCCTTCCGGTCTTTCATTGCCACATGGTAGCTGGCTACGCAGGGGGCATCAGCTCTTGAGTGTGGGGCACCTTCCTTGTCACACCCTTTTCCAGTCCGACAATTCTGCATCCAAGGCTGCCTCTTGGAAAGGCCTAACCATGGCCAAGAGTCTGTGCTCTGTGCTTCGCGCTTTCTTTGTTCTTCAGCAACTCTTGCGCATGTCCGTCCACATCGATCACGTTCCGGACATATGGCGGATGCCCTCAGTCGAGGGTCAAACCTGTCCGATTTGGCTTTGCTTCTGACCAGCGTTTTGTCGTCGACTGGACTTCATTTTCCGGGCAGCACTCCATGCGTTTGTTCCCGTCTGCCGATGCCTCTCAGGGCTATCTGGCATTTTGATGCTGGTGCTCTGGGGCGGTTCCCCTGGCGGGCCAAGCGGGCGGCTCGATCATACTTGGTCCGACCGCCCACGAGCGAAGTTGGTTCCTACTGCTTCGTCTGTTCACTTGCCGAGTCCGTCTCAGATTTCTTTGCGACGGCTCTAAAAAAGAGTGTCCGCCTGCGGTTCGAGCCAGGCTACATGGGAAACGGACTAGTCCGACCGAGTTTAATCGGATGTGTTTGGTTATAGGATGCATCGGCAACCGACCGCCCGCAGCCATCGGCTCGCGGCGGTCGTATTTCGACTTTCCCTCCACCAACCCCTTTCTCCTGCGACCGGAACTCTGGGCTGCTAGGCGCTTCCGTCCGTCCGTCCCACGTGCTTGGACTTTCACTGGGACTCTGCCTGCTGCACGTCAAGGTCCGCTGTCCGTTTTGCCACAGCCTCGTCACAGTTTCACTTTTTTTTTCCGTGGTCGGCCCGACCCGCCCACAAACGAAGTTGGTTCCGACCGCTTCGTCTGTTCACCTGCCGAGTCCGTCTCACAGACTCCGGATTTTCTGCAACGGTTTCAAAGAGGGTGTCCACCCGCGAGGGCTTCGAGCCAGGCTACTTGTTACTTTCTTAGCTCAGGGAAACGGACTTGATAAGTCCGACCGAGCGACTTGTGACATAGGCGTTCTTGTAGGAGTTGAAGAGGCAGAGCAACTTTTCCGAGCGAATAAACACGGCAACAGGGTCAGGGAACGACAGGTTGACGACGCTGTCCAGGAGCTCAGGGCTTACAACGATGACTAAGATAACGCGAGGGTTTTGAGGGTTTCGCGGGTGAAAGCATCCGGCGAAGGTTTTTTTTGCAGTGTTGTAAATGGCACTTACAGGCTTATACAGGCTTGCGTTATGGGGCTCTTTTCTGCTGGGCGCTCGCAGTCAAAAGAAGTACGAGCTTATTACGAAAAAAACTTGTGGTTGTTTAATTTAAATTTTAAACACACAATCACCCCACCCGGAAATGCTGATACACACGGGATTTTGTCGCCACGCTCGTGTGATTCGAAGTGCTTTGCTGCCATAGATTCGCTTGACCAGTCGCCCGACCCTTTCCCTGCTGTGCTTCCTTCGCCTAGCTTTCGTGGCCCTCTTCTCAAGTGTGAGCCACCGTGGGCATACCATACGCAGCGAGGACTAAGCTTCTCAACACAAGTAAGCCAGAAGGGCGCAAGCAACTATCGAGAAATCGATGTCGAATCCTGCGTGAACAGCTAAGCCATCCCAAACTGTTGACTAGTCAAGCAAGTGCGCCGTCACGTGCAGACTCCACGGGTAGAAATGCATAGAGCGATCCCTGCTCGTCAACGTCAATCAATCAGGAAACCCAATGTTCTTTACCCTCTATGTCGTCCTGATTCATTCATGCTTCCCGGCGAACGGCTGATTTCCCAATCCCTTGCTTCGTGTTTACCGGTCCACCAATCCTGGTTTCGGAATCTGAATGGCGTGCACTGGTTATCACTGGTTTACGAATCTTGGTTTCCGGATTCCGGATTGGAGCCCGGTAGGTGTATGATGGTGTATGCATTGCACAGCCGTCCATATCAGTTCCCCTACTTGCACTTCGCAGCTGACTGAGGTGCACATCGCGAGATCGACCGAAGACTGTCAGGCAGATGCGTGCAGTCGTATCCTGTGCGATTGCTATTCAGATGCGTCTCTATGCAGGTTGCCCATCACATGTCCTTATTAGCAACAAATGCGAGCGCTGGGTTCTCAACTTCTGAGATGGGTTTGACAATGACGAGCACGAAGCTGTGAAACTAAAGCTCCGGCTCCGACTCCCAACGATCTAGGAAGTTATGCACCACAATTAAAACAAAGACTTGGCAAACTCGCAAACATGTCCCCGAGGCTTCGGGGCGTTCCGGCCGACATGGCTTCGGGTCTGCCGATTTCCAGGAGGTACGGTATTCATTGAACGGACGGGATCTGGAAGTCTGGACGGGTGTTCTTCGAGGCGACTCCTGCAGACCTGGACGATGTGATTTCGCCATCCTGGGTCAGCGCTGAAGGGCAGTACATCCACCTCTGAGCCTTCTTGGAGCCTTCGCGGTTGTACAGTTCCATTCGCCATCATGTTTCACCATGCTTCCCATTTTCTCTGCAAACCCTGCTGCCAAGAGAACATGCTGCTAGAGCTTCGAAGGAGTGGAGTTGCAGCCCTCTGCGGGGTGACTGTTGTGCTCGCTCAGAGAAGTCAGGCAGCTCTCTCCAATGACAAGCTGAACAAAATCGACAACAAGTGGGTCGAGGTCAAGCGATGCATGCCACAGGACAGGCCGACCACAGTATCTACTTGTGTGGATGGTTCGGCTAGTGACGCATCTCGTCCTATCTGTGAATCAGTGCTGTCTGAAAGTGAGTGTGACGGTATCCGAACTGATGGACCGGATTGCTGGTAGGTGAATTCATCCCGTCACCAGCACTTGCAAATATTTGACTGACATGTACCCTGCAGGAGGTGATGCGAGCCCGAGAAAGCGGCAAGAAGGCCGTGGTGCCGCAGAGCGCATTGAGAGTGTTCGCACAAGCAGCTGAAGGCATGTGATTTGCCATTCAAGACCTGTGGTTGCGTGAAGGGTGAGGGCTTGGGACCACAAGAGCAAGGGCACTCCTGAAATCATCCAGGACGATTTCGAGCCCGAACGCCGGCGGCCAATGTTGGATGTTGGTCGTGTTGGGAAGGGCCTTGTTGCAAGTGACTCGGTGTTACTCCGGCTCTGTGCTTCGCCTTATGGACGGCGCTGAGTCCCAGCTGCCTTGCTTGCAGTCCCCTTCTGCACTCAGGTCCGAGTGGACCTTATCATGGACCACCTCCAGGCACGGTCACTGTGTCGTGCTGCACCAAAGCTATCGCCGCGTGCCATGGACCTAAAGATTCGCCACCGAGTCAAGCATGTGGAAAGCTCGAAGCCAGGCGGGCCGCCAGGTGGACCACCTCCAGGCACACAGTCTGATGGTGGTCGGATGATCTGCTGTGATGCAGCGAACATGAACACCGCGAGCACTCAAGCTTCACATGTTTCGCAACGTAATTACTATAGGATAGCATAGTATAGTATAGTAGGTACAGTGTAGTATAGTACAGTATAGTATAGTATGGTATAGTATAGTATAGTATGGTGTAGTATATTATACTATAGTATAAAGGATGACAGCCTTTGAGCCATTGGGTAGGTTCAGGCCGCTGTTTGTGAGGAGAACTCACGAACTGAGTGATGCCTATCCTCCCATCGTGTAGACGTCCTTCTCGCCAGCACTCCGGGCAGCACCGCAACGCAAAATGCTGTCCGAAACATCTTCAAAACCTGTTGCCTTCAACTTGCATCAGGCTATGGCTACCCTCCTCCGCCATGCTATGGAGGCAGCGAGCAGCACCAGCAACACAACAGTCAGGCGTTTGCGGAGCCGTCGCCTGCGCAAATGTTGGGTAGCAGGTTATCCAGGATATCCGCCACCTGGCTACGGTGGCTACCCCTACGGTCGTGCGCTGAGATTCCTTTCTGAAGCAAACCGAACCATGTGTTTTTTGCCTCGCGAGCCGGAAGCTGCTATGCATGAGGCTACTATCCGCCTCCTCCGCCTGACTATTACGCGGCCATGCCCAGCTGGGTTGAACCGTAGGGAGACCAACCCTTGTACTTATGTCTGAAGCTTTGTAACGGGACACGGATGTGTCAGATGTGACAAGCTGCGACCTTGTCCTATGCAACAACCTTTTGCCAACTGTGTCATGAAGGTGCTTTTTCACGAGTGCTGTTGTCTGCTAGCGTGCACAGTGCCTAACAAGAGGCTGAGAAACCTTTGCAATGCAACATTACTTAATCGGCAGCCAGGCTTATGGTTACCCACCTCCACATGCGTACGGACCGTATGGCGGATATCCGCCAGCAGCGCCAACAAGGTGTTGCCAACAATCTTGCCGGTGGTTCTGGCTTCATCTCACCATCTGTGTATGCTTGTGCAGCATGCTAGCAGATGCTGAAACATGTCAGAACCTTTCCTGACCCTGCAGCGCGGATCCCGACGACAAGCGCAGCCGCTCACGCAGCCGGCGGCGGCGGCGTCGCAGCTGACTGCTGGCACATGCTGGCACGGTCGTGAGAGACGGAGAAGAAACGAGACGAGCGCCTCCAGGTTTTGCCGACTACTAATTAAGCCATTTGATTGTTTCCATGGAGTCATCCGTTTCCTCCCAATCCCATATCAAACCCGAAAAGGAGCTCGTTTAAGCACGCCAAGCCCGCGACCCCGGCAGTAGCCACGCGAGCGCGTCAGCCGTCTCCGTACGAGTCATTCACTGCCGTTGCCCATCTTTGCCCGTTCAGGCTCAGCATGTCAGACGTTTCCAGCGTTTGGAAGGCATTGTCGCCAAAACCTCTTTGGTGGACAGGGCAGGTGTGGGACTGGCGGGAACGCGGCTTTGGTCATGTGCGCCGTGCCAAGGCAGGAGCCGCAGAAGGCTGCGAAGGCTGGAGGCACCAAGCCGCAAACGGGAAATTTATTATGGCAAAACTCAGGCTACACCGTTTGGCGGCAACACCAGTGGGATATATTGGGAGTCGCAAGTCGTCAATGTCAAGAGCGCCATGCAATGTCACATTTAAGTTAAGTTCATGCATTCATGCATTGATGCCTACGGTTTGCTTCCGGTTTCAAGTGCAGAAGCCGGGAAAGATGTGCGTGTGTATATAACACACACAAATAGAAACAGCATATATTTTCAATGGGTAATATATATATGTATGTATGTATGTATGTATGTATGTATGTATGTATGTATGTATGTATGTATGTATGCATTGCATGGATGTATGGATGTATGGATTTATGTATGTATGTATGTATGTATGTATGCATGCATGGATGTATGTATGCATGTATATATACACACATCCTTGGGCTTTGCGGCTGTCTGTCTTTATGACTCGGGTCGCTTCGTCTTCAACCTTGGCGGCAAGCCTTGATCCTTTTGGGCCGCACACATCGGGTCAGCCGCGCCATCCCATGAAGCATTAGGGTATTCGGACAAGAAGCCGTTGCACGAGGACGGCGACATGTAAACCCATCTCTGGAAGTTCCGATTCGAAGAGAGATGCTGATCTTTGCTTGCGGTCATCCACAGCAAACCCCGTTCAACCCACCTAAAGAAGCAGAGTCCAGATTCCCATACCGATACCCATTGCACCCCGAGCCAGCTTAACAACTTGCTTCTCTCTCGGGCTATCGCTGCTGGAATGCACGCTTGGCATGCCGTCTACGCAGTCTGCTTGGCTCCTCGGCTGTCCCCCTCCTCGGCTGTCCCCTTTTGCTTCCGGCTGTATGGGATTGCGTTGGGTCAATGTTCATCAGAGATGCGCAGAGGCTTGGGCGCTGGTTGGCGCAGAGCCCAAGATATCCGTGGTCACAGCATTGCTGCCCCCAAGAGGCACCAGACGGGTTTGGAGACGGGGATTGCTTCTCCGCTTGCTCGCTCTGAGAGGAGTTCCCGGTGATGCGGCCCGTGCAGACGGTGAACCTGGAACGCGCGGGGCGCGCCTGCGAGTGGAGGCTTCCGGCGGCTGCTTCCGTTGGATCTCCCAAAGGCGCGTAGAGATGCAGAAATGTCTAATTTTGTCTTGGAACGACGCAGCTCAGGCCGGACCTGGTGGCTTTGGAGGAGCCGCTGCCGGAGGAGTTGCCGCCCCGGCGAGCTGCCGAGGCCGAGGCAGAGGCCGCCTGCCAGGAGGCCGCGCCGAATCCTTCGGCAGATGCAGAGTGCAGAAGCAACGTCCGCGTGCTGGCCAGGCATGCTTGCACGTGGGACGCCAGTTCCTTGTGCAAGAGGATCCAGGCGCAGCTGGTGATGGCTGCAGCTTGGCGTTCAGACAGGGTTTCGGAGTCACACTATATAAAGGAATCGGGAGTTGGGATTGCTGGTAGCCCGTCTTCGATTGCTCCTGAAAGCGGAGGTCAGCCAGTCGCAATCATTCGCAGCCTCGCGGAAAGCGTCGATAACGTCGAGAAGGTCCTGGTTTTAGCCCAGGATATTCATTCGTCCGGGGTTGAACTCCGATACTTGGCATGCATATACGTCTCCGTTTCTGGCTTGTGCGGAAGGAGTTGTGCTTGTGCAGCGACCTTGAAAGCAACAGAGGATGTGAAGTTTACATCGCCAACATCCACAGAATCGAGGTCTTTTCCAAGATGGCTTGAGTTCGATAAAGATTGCTTGTGGCACTAGGGGTGGCATGACGGACAAAGACATTCAGTTCTCGTCAGGTTGAAACTTCTGTGCGCCGAATAAATGTGGATGATGTGGAGACGCTCGGTGTCAAGGCTTCGTTCGGCCGGTCAGATGTCGACCTGGAAATGTGCAAGTCGTCACTCCGTTTGGCTGCTTTCATGTTTTGCGCAGGCCTACGACAAGCAGGGCAATGTTTTTTCGTCGCTGGAGGGTTTGCAGTCACTTCCCTCAGCTTGGGACAGCGAGCCGTTTGTCTCTGCCAAGTGTAGGATGTTGCAAGCTGCGCACATCTGCGCACAAAGGTTCAGGTGGCGCATCGGAGACGAAAGCATATTGCAGAGACCGAAGCTCGTCGACTCGGTGGGCGGACGGTTTGCACCGTGAATGAGACCCTCATCCGCTGTTCCTTTGATTTCAGTTCTGACAGCTCGAGCTGGTGTGGGAGGAATGGACCAGTATCCACACTGGGTTGACAAGTTGCACAAGCATTTACGAAAACACTTTTTCGGCAATGTTCACAGGCGGAGGTCTGTACATCGGAGCCTTGCCCTAAGCCCTTGCGAGGGCCCCATGAAAATTAACAGGCCTTCAAGCTGAGCCCGGTTCGCCGTGCGTTGGCAGAGGCCGGGGAGTCTCCGCTTTTAAGGCGTTTTGATGTGACATGATGTGAGGCTGGGGCCGATCCTGACACGGTCCTCCTCCGTGGTGTTGCAACCGGGAGGCTGGGCCCGCATGCTTGTCCCTCTTTCATGGCACCCACGAGAAGGACGACGGTCGGCGCCAACTTGACTGTTGCTGGCATGCAGCACGTTGTCTCGCCCGATGTGCCTTTGACGGTGCTGGAAAACATCGCAACTAAGCTGCCCTGAGCCCACCTTCGCACGATTTCGACGAAGTCAGCTGTAGACCATGCAGCCCCAGCAAGGTACTGCTGCCATCGCTGATGCGGGCACCGCCCATGGCACATCTGCAGCTTCAACTTAAGGTCCTTCGCGGTCCACGCCGCCCTCTGGAGGAGTGGCAGCTTTGGATCCGAAAAGCGTGGATGATATCCGCGATATGCACTGACGGCAAACAAGTTCCCACCCTGTAAGGAGTTCCCATCAGTGGCGCTACCAGTGCCACATTTCAGCTGGCACGCGCAGGCAGTGGAAGGCCGCACATTTTTTGCCACCAACAGGCACCAACCGTAACCAGCGAGCGAGCACATACCAAGCAGCAACTACCACTTCATGCCACCAAGCTGCGCCGATCAACAAACCCACGAACCCTTCAACCGCTGGCCAACCACCCACTACCAATCCCACAACGAGCACGGCCATTGGAGCCGCTTCTGTCACCAAACAACCACCATCCTTTTTTCACCCGCCACCCACTGGCACCACGACCACAGCTGTGACCATAGCCACAGCAACTACAACGACAATATTTGCTGGTTACAGTCGGTTGACATGCCAGACCATGCTGTAAGTGCAAAATGTGAGACACCCCAACCCTGGCGGCGGCTCGCAGTGAAGCTCTTCTGGAGATCCGGAGACCTTGTCTTCAACTTTCCGCAGTTGAGATCAACTTGTCAGACAGATGGAGCCAGTTCCAGGGTCGAGTCTAATACGTGTAGATCTCGAATGAGCAAGACATGCCTCAGTGCCTCACAATCCTACGTCCCGCATTTTTTTTGTGTCTCTTGCACGCCCTTGCAGGTGGCCCGGACGTCCTGTTCGTGCAGCCGCAGATGGGCCTTGTAGTGACTCAGCATCTTGGCTCCGGGCGAGTTTTGGCTGTGGACTCACGAGTCTCGGCTAATTTGCAGTGGGGCAGGCCCGATACTCGTTGGCCGGGATCAGGTCTAAATCCCGACATGTATGGGTTTTGGGTGTTTTTTTGCTTGTCGAGTTGTGTACTGTGTGCTGTGGGTGTGCTCATGTTGACGACCCTTCTGGTAGTTCAGCCGTACCAAAACGTGAACCACTTTGCACGCAAGCAAGCTGGCTGTTTTGTCATACATACGGTGCTTTTGTTTTGATGATGTCTGCATCATGCTGTCGAAGACTATGCTGTCATGTGAAAGAACAGGCTGTCATGTCACAGAGCCAATGGGTCCAGCATTTTGCCGAGGGGGACCTCAGGGAAAATGGCAGTTCCGTGTTTTTGCACGACACCGTGGGAAGCGTGTCTCCGTGGAGGCGATGTGAGGTTGTCTCTTCGGTTGTCGTGAGGTTGCAGTTACGAGGAGTTGTGCAATTTCGCATGAGCTCTTTGTTCGATTGTTCGACAGCTTTGAAGGCCCGAGGTTGGGGGGGTTTCGTTACGCTGCATGTTGCACGGCAACAAGCTTGTCTGAGGTTGGTTGGCCTTGAGCTAGCAGGAGTCACCGCGTCTTGCAAAACGGCCCTGTGCATGCGGCGCCGCGACGATTTGTCCTTGGATTCTTGCTGGCTCCAGTGTCTTCGATCGCGCGAAATGGCGCTGTGCAGTGGTACCGTGACGATTCGTGTGCCGATTTGACAACCTTCTCGGTGATGCCGGCGTCGCCGAATTTTCCGGGCGTCACCGCATCTTCGGATCCGGTAAGCGAACCAATGCATTGTAAATTCCAATACATTGGTCTCATGTCGGCCTCGAAGTGAAACCCTATCGGCGGACCCGCCGTGTCCGCATCCTCCAGTATGCGCGATCCATTGTAAATTCAATGCGTTGGCCTCATGTTGGTCTTGATTTGACAACCCTGTCGGTGCCGTCGGATGCCGCCGGCGTATCTGCATCTTGCAGTAAGCACGATCCAATTGTGCATTCTGCTGCGTGTGTGTGCGTGTGTGTGGGGCCTCGAGTTCTCTGAGTTCGTCGGCATTTTGGGGAAGCGTGGAAGCATGTTGGCAGAGTTTGTGGATCCCGCCGGTACTGCCCACACTTTCACAGATCCCTGCCAAGCTCGAAATCGTGTGTGCTGGGCCCAAACTGAATGTTCTCTGGGTGGCGCCCGCAGATCAGGAATTGAGAACAACACTGCGGCATCGATAGTTCATGCAACTTCTCTGCACATGTTTTTCAAGGACTTTGCCGCATGTCGTAGGCAGCTTTTCTTCGGATAGCAGAATCACTGCCCGGAGGTTGCAAACCCTGCAGTGCTTCGCTTCACCACGCTGCCACTATGGCGAGGGCCTGGTGTTCCCTTCGATGCTCATGCACCAGGTAGTCGGCTAGACTGTGCAGCTGACTCGTACTGGTTGGATTCATTCTGTCGACTCACGCTCGTGGCTGTCGGTGTCACTGCGACCGGCCACGGTCTATAGAGACTGGCCTCGTCATGCTTCGTTCTGCAACATCTACGTACAACCTGAGTTTGTCCAGGGCTGATATCGGAAAGTAGACTGTTCTTTGTGTCTGCTGCTCTGGCTCTGGCAGGATGGCTGGGGACGCTGGAAAGTGGCTGGGAAGATGCAGAGCTGCAGGTGCTACGCTTCGACACAGCAGGAGTCTCCTCAGTCCCTCGGCAGCATCGATTTTTGACTGTGCGTGAGATGGCTGCGGCAGAGAGAAGGACTTCGTGCCGATACTTTCAGCTGCAGCATTGCTGCTTTGTGTGTGCTGCACAGGCAGAGCCGAAGCTTCAGCTCGTGCAGGGTAGGCGTGGCCTGGACAAGTGATAGAAGCAAGCACTTCTATCACGAGCTCAGCGGACTGAACTGAGCAGGACGTATGCTCTGAAACTGGAGCTGATGGACGACCTTTCGCAGCCGATGCACCTCTGCAGCAGCTTGGGATACTGCCACAAGCGAAAGTGCGACATTGCAGATTGTTGTCACATCCGAGGGTCTGCTGACTGCCTTGGACTTCTAATATCTTCTAATTCTGCAGCTGAAACTCAAAGGTAAACCTTCCAAAAAGTAGACTCCGACATGCTCCCAAAAAGGGAAGCAGGCCCTCAGACGCCTGCAAGAGCTTGGACTGGGGTCGCGGAGGCCGATGGTGGAACGTTTGGGTCCAGATCCCATCCCAGGTCCCGAAAGAGTAGCCTGAACTCATTCAAATCCGGCTGGGACGAGCAGAAAGGCCTCCCTCTACTACAGGGGAGAATTTAAACAGTACAATCATGGGGCATGGAACCCGCCCACATCGCGACCCTTTGTCTCAGAGCCGGAAAAGTTCGCTAGAGACTGCGAGGGATGCGAGGGTCTCCCGAGTTAAGCCCGACGTGTCCCGTGCTCACTTCCGACCTCGTGGCTGCGCTATTCACGGATGCTTTTCTGTGGAGCGGTGCCTCCTTCGCATGGGGTTCGAAAAGGCTTGACGTAGCGACGTAGCTCAATGTTCAAGCGGGAGGGCAAATCCCCCGTCTCCCCTGTAAAAGCAAAGCGGATTTTCCCTCAGAGTTGGAGAGGGCTGAAGACTGAAGGGGAGGGAAGGAGCGCGTTAAGGCTGGGGGGGATGGGAACGCAACGAGGGCACATAACATGTAGGTTCAACACACTAGGGGCAATAAACAGTCAACATTTTTGGTGTTTATGTGTTTGAATCTTCAGGGGTAGGAGGTTTTGCTGTTTTGCAGGGTTTGGGGCCACATACGACTTACTGCTTCTGCATGCTTCTTCTTCGATACGTCCGTATGCTTTTTGCTGTGCCCTCACTGTCGGCGTGAAAGCAGCTGATGGCTGGTGTGGAAATGTGTGGAAGGTTGCGCATCAAAAAGCCCCGCTCGCAACATTGAAACAAGATGAAATAAGGACGTGTGGGTTCGCGCACATGCCAAGTAGACTGCACCTTCAAAAAGAGATCGCACATGCCAGCAGTCCAAGCTAGGCAGATTCCGCTGAACCTTCGGGCAGAAGTTCGCTGTGTGGTCACTTGGCTCGCATCTGACTCGCGAAGGGGCGGTTTGCGGGCCAGTAAGAAGGCAGCAAAGTCTTTGTTTCCGGCTTATCGCATACTGATCGCCGGTGCTGATTGTGCATCAGCAGTTATTAGTTATTAGTGGTTAGGTTCTGTTCCAGAACCCTTCGAGGCCGAGCCCGACATGCCGCCGGTACTGCAGCTCTTACATCAGGCGATGACTTCTTCGGAGCGTTCTCCGAGCTTTTCCGAACCGGTTTCAGGCTTCCAATTCTGCGGTCATCATCTTCCGTGCAGTGGAGCCGGGTGAGGCCGTGGCACTCAGGTGCAGACATCATAGACATCCAACTGCAGAGTCCGGACATCCAGGGCGTCATTACCATCGACGGCTTGACTCTCCAGGCCGACAGCGAAGACCAGGCGCAACGGAACGGCTTGCCACGGCTTCCGAAACCATGTTCCTACACCGAGGCCCGCGGCCTGAAGACGCTTCCGTTGAAGCTCACGGCGAAGCAGGCGAGAGAAAAAAAGATATTGCTTGTGGTTCTGGTCACATTGGGGACAGGTTTTCCACGTGGCGCCTGAGCTGCGACCACTAGTGCCTGTTCCCGGACCAATGCTTCTTCCGAGGCGATGCTACCAACCTTCCGTAGAATCAAACTTGAGTACACGTTCAGGTGGCATTCCTACTTGCTGAAGGTCGCAGGTGGAAGCGGCCAGCAGGTCCTAAACAGATCGGGCGAAATTCGCACACTTGTGGAAATTTGTAGCTAGCATGGGTCATCATGGGTCCCGAAGGCATTTGCTCTGACCCAACTGAATCCAGCCGGTGTGGCCAGCGTTTCTGCCGAAGGACGCGTGCAGGCTGGGAGTTTGGCAAACACACTGTCGAATGTACCTTGGAAAGCCCTGGGAATGCTTAAGACTACTTTTAGGCAGGTGTACCCCCAGATAGACTTAGGGCTACATAGAATATCATGATATTATAGGCAAATCTAGTCTTAAGCATTCCCAGGGTTAGTGGTTAGGTCAAAGTTAGGTAGATAAGATAGAAAAAGCATCGCATTTGTCTCTGACAGGCCGAACCGTCCCGAACCGTCTCGAACCGTTCCGAAACGTTCCGAACCGTCCCGAACCGTTCCGAACCGTGCCGAACCGTTCCGAACCGTGCCGAACCGTTCCAAACTGTTCCGAACGGTTCCGAACGGTTCCGAACCGTCCCGAACCGTCCCGAACCGTTCCGAACCGTTCCGAACCGTTCCGAACCGTCCCGAACCGTGCCGAACCGTTCCGAACCGTTCCGAACCGTTCCGAACCGTCCCGAACCGTTCCGAACCGTCCCGAACTGTTCCGAACCGTTCCGAACCTTTCCGAACCCGTGCCGAACCGTTCCAAATCGTTCCGAACCGTTCCGAACCGTTCCGAACACTTCCGAACCGTTCCGAACCGTCCCGAACCGTTCCGAAACGTTCCGAACCGTCCCGAACCGTTCCCGAACCGTTCCGAACCGTCCCCGAACTGTTCCGAGACGTTCCGAACCGTCCCGAACCGTCCCGAACCGTCCCGAACCGTCCCGAACCGTTCCGAACCGTTCCGAACCGTCCGGAACCGTTCCGAAGCGTTCCGAACCGTCCCCGAACCGTTCCGAACCGTCCCGAACAGTTCGGAAAAGTTAGGAAACGTTCCGAACTGTTCCGAACCGTTACCCATTCAAGAGCGGGGATGGGGGGGGGGTGGGGGCAAGGAGGTGCCATCATTTGCGGACGGTTCGGTTTGGTTTGGTTGGGGACGGTTCGGAACGGTTCGGGACGTTTCGGAACGGTTCGGAACGGTTCGGAACGGTTTCGGAACGGTTCGGGGGTTTGGAACGGTTCGGGACGGTTCGGAACGGTTCGGGACGGTTGGGAAGGAACGGTTCGGGACGGTTGGGAAGGAACGGTTCGGGACGGTTCGCAAAGGTTCGGAACGGAACGGTTCGGGACTGTTCGGAACGGTTCGGAAAGGTTTGGAAGCGAAATGGACGGGCCCAGCCCAGCCCTGCCCGGCCCAGCCCAGTCATAGTTTCGCTGTCGAAGCACCATCGAAGAGCACCCAAAACAATCGAGACCCTGCCATCATCCCAGAAAACACGTGTTTTTAGCACTTGTGTTCGCCGTGCTCCGAAATGTGGCATGCACCGGAAAGTGCGGCAATTGTGCAAAATCCCAATTAGACTAGTGTCGTTTGTGCCCCCAGTGCTGACTGAGACAGGCCGGAGCCAGATTTGAGCTCACATGTGGGCTTCCGGTAATCGGGTTTCGGAAATGTGGCTTGCACCGGATTTCGCGGCAGTCTTAAGCATTCCAAGGGCTTTCCAAAATATACCGGAGTGCCGAATTGTGTACAATCAAATAAATAGATATATACATGAATACATGAAAATAAATGAATAGTGTGTTTCTGTAGAACGAATTCACAGACACACAACCACACACGCACACACACACACAAACACACACACACACACAGATATATATATATATGGAGACATATACACACACACATACGTACATAACATTCGTATACATTCATATGCATATACGTGCAGGTGCACACATACACCCGTGCGCTGACAAACCTGCAAGGAACAGCAACACCAAAACAAGCCAGGGTCTCTGTACATCTGTGTGTTTCTACACATGACCCGCTACTTCAAGTCCGTGAAAGCAAACAGCAGCATGCAGCTCGGTGTGAGTGCACAAACAAAACGCAGATATGGCATGTGGTCAGAAAGATGGCATGAATGCCGGTCTTTTTTTTATCACCTGCCAAGCTGTACCTACGCTTGCATCATCAAAGAAGCGCCAAGCGATTGCGTATAGACATGCACTGTATCACGGATCAGAACCGATTCCTCAACCAAGCAAGCTTACACGGCCAAAACGGGTTCTTTAGCAACCAAGAGAGAAGATTAAACAACCAAAACGGACCGGCTACACAACCAAGAAACCCCTAGTACCCCTAGTATAGGCACGCCGTCACGAAGGCAAAATAGACACGAACTTGCATCAGAAGCCCAACACATACATGCATACATCTGCAGCTTTGCAACTGATTAGGCCCCCGGGTAGACACCTCCTCAGCACAGGGTGCGGCTTGCGAGAGCAAGCCGCATACTGCGAAACCGAGGCTATTGCAGTTTTGGATTTAGGATGCTCTGGGTTCAGGCTCCCCCCGTATTTGGCACGCCCCGCCTTCCGGGTGAGAGAGATGGGGAGAGGGAGGGAGAACTGTTTGTCCCATGCTTCTTTTGCAGGGTTCCGCTAAGTGCGAAGAAAGACAAATAATGAAAGGCATCTGATGTAGCTTCGGTTTGGGGCTGTGCTGCTGACTACGTAACCTCTTGCAGGTATTTGGCCGCTTGGGCAGTGCAGAACTCCTGGTTTACGACACAAGGAGCCTTGACACTCGTCAGCTTTGCGCCAAAGGTTTGATGCCAGGAACCCAGAAAACAACTTCACTCTGCCGGTCTTGATAAGACGTGCCGGCCACCTTCGACTCTTGCTCGGGCCCTAGTGTTCATTCTCGCTTCCGTGGAAACTCGCGCCTCGCGGTCCAGAATCCTATCTGTGTCTTCTCAACGCTCATGTCGGAAAATTCGCAGAACAGCAGTTGTCTGCTTCTGCTGGGCCTGACCACGAGCGGAAGAATGCATTCGCCCTCGTCAGGCCCCGCTATCTGCAGATTCGTTTGTCTTCAGATCACCCAACGGAAGAGGCCACTTCTCTTGGACTCACCCACTGGGCCTAGCGAATGTCGTGATGCAGAGGTCGTTCGGGTGCAAGCGCGGCCTGAGGAAGGTGGCGACGTCGCCACCTCGGAGAGCTCCCGTGAATCTGCAGTGCGGCGGACTTGATGGACGTTGCGCTGCTGAGGATGCTGAGCTGTGCCGGCTGCTTCGACTTTCAGCTTGCACACAGCAGCAGCGCAAAGTAGTCCAAGCGTCGCGGCGTTTGTGGTCGTGATCTGTGATTTGGTCTCGTGGAGTGTATGCCGCATTTGAGGAAATTTGTCCTTCTGGAACTGTGGCCATCTCGGCTGCACCATTGTCAAGCTGCACGAGGTGCGTGCCGCAGATGTGAGGCACGGCGCTCTTCCCGTCGGACCAGCTGGTGCCCGAAGTCTCCAACAACACCGCACCCTCCTCAACCGGCACTTTGCAAAAATTGGGCATAGTGCAGTCAAAAATGCCGGCTGGTACCAGGTTGCTTCTGTACTCGCAGCCTCTTCAGGCCATTTCTGCCATGTGAATTGTCACAAAACAAGTGAAGGTCTGTGCCGCCATCTGGCCGCGTCATCAAGAGATTTGGAAGGGATGTCATGGATATCTCCTTGCCCGATCTGGGCCTGGGCATCCTTGCCGTCACAGAGGGACAAGTACTGAAGTACTCTGTACTGGTCAAATCTGTGCAAAGTGCTGGAATTCTCGAAGGGAGGGTTTGGTCCCTTTCTGGCAGAGAGGTTTTGGATTGGTGGGGTTGGAGCCCAGAGATTCCGACAAGGAGCTCGCTAAACGCACTGAGTACACCTGAGTATGTTGGCGACATTATTCCAATCGCAACAGGCGAGTTTGCGACATGCGCCGTCCTTCATGTGAGGCAAGGGGCGTCCGCGATGGTTGTTCTCGGATCATTATTGCGCTCGTTCTTTTACCGGTCGAATCAGAATCAGGCCTCTCGCAGCAGGACGATTTCAGCTCATCGCGAAAGCTCAGGAGGCTGGATTTTCCGATTGTGCGTGTTCATCTATTCGGCAGCTCGGCACTGTTCCCTGCTCACTGTTTCTGAATGTGTCTGCAGATGTTTAGGTTGATGTGCCTGCGCTTCCATCAGCATCGCTTCCCTTCGAGGTTGGGACTTGCATGTGGTCGAAGGGTAGAAGAAGACAGGGCGGATGCTCTCTTACACTAGTTTAACTTTCTTTGGACCCGTCCAGACAGCAGGTAAGGGCGGTGGAATTGCAAGGAAGTTGCAAACATGTCAGGTCTACAAGCCCTTGAAGTGGCAATTGCTTGGAGTTCCGAGCCCAGCCGACGTGCTCCACGAGAGGATGCGAATACTAGCTATGAAGGTCAGCACAGAGCTCTGTCAGGTACTTGCGGCGGCTCAGACCAATCAATCGGCAGCATTGGCCATGGGCTCAATCTGAGAAGGTCTCTGCCAAAGTCTGGCGCGGAGCATGAGTGCGGAGAAACAAGTAAGCATGCATGCATGCATCTTGCATCCGCGACGTTTTTTTTGCAAGGTCGTGGCACCCTGTTCCTCCGTCAGACTCTGCATCTCCGATGGTCCCCTTGGCCTAACGGTTCAAGGACCGGCTCCTGGTCACCAGCCGTGCAAATGTCGTAAGCTCTATAGGACGGGAGACGTGGAATTTGACAGCTGGAGCCCACATAACTGTGCCGGAAGCTAAGCCCGCATCATGACATTGTCGGACGAGCGAACCGGAGGGGTTGTTTCTCCGGACATGTTGTTGTTTACATATTTGCATTAGTATTGCTAGTGAGATTGCAGGCTAGTAACAATACCTCTTATATTTTGACCATTGCCAGCAACCATTGCCATTGCAGTTCCTGTTGCTATTGCAAGTACTGTCGCAGTACCGATACCTGTTGCCATTGCAACTAATCTGACTGCTGTTATTACTCTTCTTATTACTGTTTCGAGTACTGTTCCTATTGCTATTGCTACTACACTTTCATCGTCACCATTGTGCTTGCGAATCTTATTCCCTTCATCCGCACTTTTGCTTTACTACAATAGCAGGTACTTTTGCTGTTACTTTTACACTACCATAGCTGTTCCTTTTACTACTACCCTATTCAGTATTCTCACTATCACGACGATCGCTATCCCTACACTACTGCTACCTCTATTAGTCTATGACTATTTCTAGTACTAGTAGTAGTGCTTCGGCTAATAGTCGTACTGGCACAACAACAGCAACTACTACTACCACTACAACTACAACGGTCATGGCCAGTATACAATGTATGAAATTGTTGTGAACATAATTGGTCATTGCGGGTCCTGTTCCTCTCACCATCGCTTTTATGCTTTATACCAGTGACTACATGACCAACATCATAGAATCATAGCTTCTCTTCCTGTTCGTACCACTACTATTATGCTTTTTACTAATACCATCAACAGCTCTTTCCATGAATGTTGCAACTACTATTAGTATAAGACTATACCGTCACATGACATTGCCGTTACTGTTGCCATTTTAGTACTACTACTACGACGACGACGACGACGACTACTACTACAACTACTACTACTACTAGGACGACAACGACGGCTACTACTGCTAGGCACGAACCCCTCGTGGCATCCATGCTTTCACAGGACTAGCAAGGCACATTGACTGATGCAAGTGTTGAAAATGCTGGCCAAGCCATCGGTTTCGTGACTTCAAAGATGCAGGTTGATCTTTCTTAAGCAGCTGGTTTTGGGAGGAATCCGGTCCCAAAACCAGGGTTTGCAGGTTTAAAAAGCGTTTTTGGACCACACCGCGACGCTTACTTTTTTTGCTTGTGCTGCGTGTCGTTGTGGTGCCTGACATCTCCGGTCATGAGTCACACGTCCTTTTTGCAATTCCCGTGCTTCCACTGGAACTCTTTGACCCTGTGCTCAATCACTTGTTTTCTTGCATCGCTGCAATGCCCCCAGCAATCAGAATAAGCGGATTGCTGAACGATTCCAACAACTCGAAACTTGAGGCGCCAAGGAACATGTCGAAACGCTGCAGGTAGCTAAGCTCGGAGCCCTGGAATCCCTAGAACCCGAAGAAGCTAAAACCTGAAATGCTTTAGGAATCAGGCTGGGTGTCGCAGCGCAAGAGCGGGAACAGGTGCCGAACGACATGGAAGTGGTGCTGCAATTGACGCGATTGATAGCACCAGACTTGCCCACAAAGCGTCTGGATGCAAGGCGGTGGGGTGGGAGGGTAACAACGCACAGGTCGATCAGACACAGATTACTGCTGGAAGGTGTCATTTTGGAATGAGATTCAGGGTTGTACCTGGGATATCAGTTTCGGGTCGCGGGTTGCAGGATTCATGGTTTGCGGGTGACGGTTGGTCAGACCGTTGCGTGTGCTCTTGCAGCATGTTTCATTACAATTAGTAATTTCACCCAATACATCCTACAGATATCATGATTCCTGCTACCACTACCATGACTATCTTTGTTACGACTTGTACTGTTGCTAGTAATTTCCTGTACCAATACCAATTCTGGAACCATTGCCGTTGTCAGAATGCTTATTACTACTTGCTGTTTTCTTGTTATTCGTATGACTACTATTGCTATTGGCATTGCTGCCAGGAGTACTGGTGGTATTTCCTGTGCCATGACCACTTCCATTGCCACTTCGATTGCTCTTGATGCTGTTCGTACTGGTACAAGCACTCGTACTCCACCAGTACTGGTATTGGTACTACTACATTAATAATATTACTATTACTGCTACTACTACTACTACGACGACGACGACTACTACTACTACTACTACTGCTACTACTGCTGCTACTACTACTACTACTACCACTACCACTACCGCTACCACTACTACCGCTACCACTACTACTACTACTACTACTACTACTACTACTGCTACTGCTAGTACTGCTACTGCAAAAAAAAAATTACTACGACTACAATAATAGTACTACTACTACTACTACTACTACTACTACTACCACGACGACGACGACGACGACGACTACTACTGCTACTACTACTACTACTACTACTACTACTTATTCTTCTTCTTATACCATGACTACTAGTATTCTCATGACTATTGCTTTTACTATTGGTAGGTCCATTAGAGCCACTTCCCACTGCCTCCAAAGAACAACTGTGGCCACAGAACGAGAAAAATGGCGGCCACAGAAAACCTGCACCCCAGCGCGGTTGCAATTCGTGGCCGCCCTGCCCGAGATTTCCGATCCTTTTGCCGAGGCAGCGCCTGAGCCATCGTTGCTTTGAGGTGGCGTGTTTACAGGTTACGCCAGGCGCGGGGGAGCATGCAATTTTTTCATGTGGAGCAGGTGGTCAAGTGCTTCTGCAACTGCCAAGCCGTGTGCACACCCTTGCCGTGGCACTCCGACAATTATCTTTCGAGCCGGTAGAGATGCATGGCCATGCAGGGCCTGCAGGGTTAGCCAGAACGCAGATTTACAGTTTTTCATACTTCGCCTCCGTCGTGTCCCAGGGCCTGTGCGGTTGGTTGGTGAAGTCTCGTGCGGCTGGCCTGTTTGTTCGCTCGGTTTAAGCGGAGGTGCTAAGTCCGCCGCGTGCCAGGCACTCTCCTGCGGATCCAGCACATGGGCACACTTTTGCGGCTTGACCAAAATTGGCTTTGCGACGGAAGTGAAATTGCATTCCAGGAAAAGGAAGGTGTTCGGTCGAGCGACTCGCATCTCTTACAGTAGAACGACGACGCACTGTCAGCACGGGTTGCTGAACCGATCAAGAAAAAGCTTCTCCAAGTATATTACTGAACACATACTCCGAGAGTGAGCTCAGACTTGCGGTCAGGGCTAGTAGTTGCCTGACTTGTAGGCGCGTCAGATGCTTGTTCTTGACGGTCTCAACGGGTTCCGAAAATGTTGTCTACACAAATCGTCGGTGTGGCACTCCTCTTGCAAGTCTTGCAAAGCAATATCTGTGCGTCCGACGTGAATGTTCATAGTGCGCACTTGTCCACAGGCTGACGGCATGTATGGGCTTTCAGGTGGACCGATTGGACTTGTGGCTCCGCTGCTCGGTGCCAGCCAGGGTGCAGGTGCAGTGCCGGATGCCAGCGTCGTCGAATGTACGTGCTCGGATGTGCTCGGAGGCTACAGCCGAGCTGCATGCAGACGATCTTCCGGACGACAAGGCCTGCCTCCAGGATCTCACCATTTCCAGCTGTCTTTGTCTTGTACAGGACCGAGGAGAGGCACTTGGAGTACAGCTGGGGACCCAGCTGGACCCGGTCACAGCCGCCGTAGCGTGTGAACCGTCGGGAGCGCTTCACCTCGGTTTCTGGAAGGCGCGGGAGGGAGACAGCTTTCAGGGCGAAGTTTACTGACGGCTTCGGAAGGACGGGGAGCCCAGAGGCCAGGGACATGCTCGTGCACTGAGCGGCAAGGACCATCCTGAACGCCTCCGAATATTGGCTCCGCTGGTCACTGGTGCCCACCGGAAGCAAGGACGGAGTTCCATTTCAGAAGGCTGGAAAGGATATGCCTTGGCTGCCTCAGATGACAGACAGCTTTGTGGCTTTGCGCAGGCATGGCTATCCACCGGCAAGGAGCCCTGTCCGATTCGCATCGTCGACTGTTATGACAGTCTTTTCAAAGAAACAGAGTTGTTCTGCGCTGATTCACCGGTCCACCCCATCCGATTAGCAGCGAATCCATGCTCAAACCGTTGAACTCCGCTCAGCCCATCCACTTACCCACACATCTTGACAAACAAAACTGCTGGCCTACGCATTTCCTTTTCCACCAACCCTTTTACCCTGAAATCGTGCAAAAGCTCGAGTTTTTGAGCACATTCGATGTCCGCAAACCCACTTGCACTGTACGCTTGTACGCTCGCGAGTGATCCAGTTCCCCGGGTTCGATGCTTCCGGTCCTGCCTGGACCACGGCACAATCATGTACCTGCCACTCGAGATCGAGTACTTTTTGGAAGCTTAACGGCAATCAGTCTGCTTCGGAGTCTTGCCCAAACCATCCCAGACCTGTACCTTCTGTTTACGGTCCGCAGCACAGGTGAACTAGTGCAGCGACAGGACCATTAGTCCCACAGGGAACTTTGTGTGCCTTCAAGGGTTAGAGAATGTGGAAAGGCTGGTGACGCTGTAGCTCATGCTTGCGCAACTAGCAGGGCCCGCGGGCTAATCATAGGTGTTGATCCGAGATGGCTTTCCTTAGGAATGTTGGCATTGGTTTATTTTGTGTCCCGAAGGGCTTTGAGTGCGTGGTGCGAGCGTGCAAAAAGCAATGGGCAAGGAAGTAGTATCAGGGTCACAACATTTCGAACTCAGCGGCATCCTCAGGGGATGCTACAGAAGTTCGAGTGCCTTGGTTGGAGGACAACCTTGTGGAGCTTTCGCTACTGTGGCTGGAGTCGCTTCAAGCAGTCAAGCTGCTGATCAAGGCGTGGGACCACGAACGTGGTCTCCCGGCGCGGCGGCAGCGGCGGCAGCGGCTTCCTGGCCCGTGTCCGAGCTCTACTGCCAGGTTGACCTCGCCTCCTTGGGTGTTTGCGCCTCCTTCCCCTTTTATATTCGCGAGCCCTACGCCTACGTTTGCTCGAACTTGTGGCACTACTCCTTCGTGTACAGTATTTTTCCACAATGCCGCAAGGAGTGCCGACCTTTACCTCACCGGGAACTTCATCGCCCACGGCACATGCGACAACCCCGTGAGGGCCTCTGCAGCAGCCAGTGCAGTCTATGGATGAACGCAGCAGGAGGGGCGATGATGCAAGGGTGGAAAAGTGCCCTTGAAGTGTTGGGCATGAAACCCCCTCATTCTGTGGGCGGCATCCGCCCGATCAAGCTGAAAGGTTTATCGCTGCGTTGACAGAATCGTCAGATACCCTCGTGGTCGGGGCAGCCGGGATCTTTGAGGACGTGGTTAAAGTATTTTGCTCAGTGGGAATCAGAAACTATGGTTCCGAAAGAAATATGGGGATTTCGGTTGCACCAGTCGTTTCCGGAATCCTCGGAGCCAAGAGAGATTGCTGATCAAGTACCTCTTGAGCCAGTTCTCGGACTTCATGGATACGGATCGATTCTGAGTGTTGTCGAAAAATAAACCTTCTGTTGATGTTGCAGACCAGCCGCAGTGGATCTGGTGAACGTCAGGAAAACCAATCCTTTGTGAGCTGCATCGCTCAGAAGGAGACTGCGAAGCAGGAGTTGGAGAGTCATCTTGGCGAGCTCCTGACTGATCGGGTGGCTGGTCGCACCCTACGAAGGCACAAGATGTTGTCCGACATCCAGCGCGAGATGATTGCCATGCGCGATCTCAATCGCTTGATGGGCTTTGCAGAAGTTGTGCAGCTTCTGAGGCCCTTGGACCGCCCGGACCTCACTGCACAAGCAGCTCATCAAGAGCTTGGCACTGGAGCGGCGAAACATAATTCAGCGATTCGAGGATCGTTGTTACGTCAAGCATCGGAGCTATGGAGGCCGTGGAAGATCACGACTTATGACGACCTATGAGCAAGGGTCGAGGAGCACGACGTGATGCAGCGCGTCGTGATGGCCGACGTCGTGTGCCATCGCGAACATCGTCATCTAAGTTGAGGCCTATGATGAAAGGCAACGCCGAGTACCTGCAGTCGAGGACGCGTTGCTTGACCTTGGTCACCTTGCCAGAGACTTTCCTTTGGAAGGATGCGGCAAGGGCAACAACCGTGCTTCCGGTCCTAAGCACGTCAGCTTTGAGGTGTGTCGAGGTGGCGCTGGAGCAACGACAGCATTTATGACTTTGTCGTCTTTGTCACCCAGCGCTGTGAGGCTAAGCATCTACGCTGGTGTAGCAGTTCGTGGGTGCGAGGCGCTGGTGGATACAGCAGCCGAGGATGCTGTTATCGGGCATTGAGCCCTGGCATCGCTAGATAAACAGCTGGCAAGGAACGGTCTGTGTCTGTGCATCAGAGCGGTCAGCATACGGCTGTGCCATGTGCTGGAATTGGAATTGGTGGAGCCGGTGAGGCGGGTGAACCGACCTTAGTCCCAATGAAAGTCGTTCTCCTGCTGGACTTCGTATCCCCATGAATAGACTGCCGCCAGGACATCGCGTTGGCAACATTGTCGACTTCGAGGACACTCCCTGGCAGCTTCCCGACAACTTGCTGCCGGTTTACGATGGTGTGGATCATTTTGTCTTGCCCGTCGCTGCCAACAACATCTTGGTTCCGGCGGGTGATGTGCCGATGCCGATTTTGGCCGCGACCTTGAAAGACGAGTTGAGTGTGACGACCATTGCCAGGCGATGTCGATGCCGAAAAGCCTGGAACTGCGTCCACTACCTTGGTGGATGCAAGAGGGGCAGCAGCTCACGAGCTGGCACCAGATCTTCAACCGAGTCAAGCACCGCAACGCCGATGAGTGGAACCAGAAGCTCATTGAGAAGTTGAACTTGCAACAGTGCTCCCATGAGAACATTGAGGAGCTCCTTGTCACGTTCCCTGGAGGATGGAAGCGAGGTGCAGGAACCAGGTGCCAAAGGGCGAGGTCGGACTCCTGTCGTTTGACCTTTGGCTTGTATGTGCACGGGAACACGATCGGGACCACGCGTGAATCTCGTCAGTACCTCAAGCCCTGTCAGTATGTCAATCAGTGAATCGGATTCGCCGGAAAGCTCCTGAGAGTTTTACCTGGACCTAGGCTGTGATTGGTTTCCAAGCTTCAATGAATCCTAACATTGATTGTCACGATGCCCGGGAGTGTCGAGCATGACGACCACTTTCGGCAACTTTCAGAAGGGGGAGTTGTGGATGGAGTTGAAGGATCCGTGCAGTACCCCAGTCGAAAAGATCGCGTGGCGCCTTAAGGATGGAGTTCGCGCCCCAGGACGATTACTCAATACCCGACATCATCCATCCATTTTCGATTTGGTGCCGGGGGAATGCATGAAGCAACGCTGGATGTGCGAGATTGATGACAATGCAGTTTCTGAAAGTGCAGGAGAGCAGTTCTGTCACGACTTCGAGCAGGCCTTGGATGCATGGTCAGGACAACCGCTTGAACGTTCGGCAGCCTCAAAGTTCACGCGGATGATCGCTCGCGCGGCGATCTGGATAGCAGATTCGGCCCGCAAACCTCGCTGTCGAGCACGACAACCAAGACTAAGGACAGCTCGACAACTCCCAATGCTTTTGTGACTCGAAGTGCCGAGATACAGCTGGCCGCAATCGAAGTTTCGATAGCTCTACGCATCACATCCGGGAGCTGAGGAGACTGCACTAACTCCATCGGTTAGGCAGCCCCCAGATGTGTACCGTGTCAAGTTTGAGCCGCATGTGTTCGGACTACAGGATGCATTTCCGAAACGAGCGTCGCAACCAACATTTCTCATCACCAACATATACAACATTGCGGCGAGGTTAACCAACACTTCGTGTCAAAGGATGGGAAGATCAAAGAGCGAGGACGAGGCAGTCCCGCTGCTGCTTATACCACCTTGTTTGTTGAAGGGTGTGCCTCATGGCAAAAATCATTGGCAGCTGTCGCCTCGTCAGTTAGTGTGTTTGCACATGGAGCCGCGGTGTGCCACAAGAATGTGACATGTTCGATGTGCAGGGCATCGCCTTTACGGGCAAACGCCATGTTGTGCAAACGTTTGGTGATGGTCATGTGCGGCGATTTTCAGATGACTGGCGGACTCAACACCCGCCTACGCGGCGACCATGGACTGGTCAAACCATCGCTCGACATCGTGCCTCAAATGATACTTCCTGGCTCCCGTTTGGAGGTCGCTCAAGATGTGTCTCGAGCAGCCGTGCACGATTTTTTCCAGTGTCAGACGGCCGAGATGCATTGTCAGGCCGAGTGGATGCTCATGCAGTGTTCTTCTTTTCAGTGGGCATTCCTTTCACACAGAATTTTGGAGGAGCGGGAAAACGCCGATTTTGGCCATGTTCCCTCCGAGAACGTCAGCGCTGAAGGCGAGGACGTCGATGACATTTTGCACGAAATCCTCGGAGGACCCGGCCAGGACCAAGAGATCATTGGCGACCGGGAGAATGTGAAGGCAATGGAGGACCGGCTCGACGAGGGCAAGGTCAAACATGAACTACGTGAAGGACTTGGTCAAGTAAGCAAGGCACGACCTTTGGAGCGCGAGTACGACATCTCTCCAGATTCACGTCGAGAAGTTTATCGAGTTTATCGCCTGCGTCGTAACCTTGGTCACCCAAATATGGAGACCTTCCTCCGGGCTCTCAAGCATGTGGGCATCAAGCGAGAGCGAGAGTTCAGGTGTCCACTTTGCAAGGCTCGGCGAAAACCAGATTCACACCGGCCAGGCCACCTTTCGCGACGGCTGGATATCAATGAGATCGTCGGCATCGACATTTTTTTCCGTCGCCGGCCGCACCTTGACGTGCTTTGCTGGGGAACTTCGCTGCAGCGCTACCGGACAAGACCACCGAAACGGTCACCAGGGCCTTCCTCAAGAGCTGGTGCGGACACTATGGGGTGCTGTAGTGTCACCTGAGATGTTGGAGAAGTTGGAATCAGGCCACATTGTTATTGTTATTATCAGGATGTGGAACCTGAAGGAGTGCCGCCCACGGAGACGACAACCAAGGCTGATGGCAGTGGGATAGGAACTTTGGACGTCGACCTGGAGCCATCTTCGGGGCGGCTGGATGCCATTACGGAGGAGTCGACGAGCGAGGATGACGTCCAAGCTCATCAAACTCCAATGGACGCGACGGTCGAGCCGATGGTTGTGGACAGTACCCGAGAGCCATCCTCAGCAGATCCTGGGAGCACGGCAGGCTCCGACGCCCGGTCCATCTCCAATGACTTCGAGGCCGAGCGTTCGAGTGGACGAAGGTTCCGATGGATCATTTCCATTTGGACCAGCTCAAAAATGGAAGCAGCGGGCAGCGGCCTGGACGAAACCGTATTCTTTTCCATCGCATCCATCGTGGCCATGTCCTTTAAGACCTTCTACATTCCTGGAGATTGCCACCAAAGAAGCAAAGGGTCTCGACGGTGGTCATCAGCGACTCGGCTTTTGACAAGAGTGGCCAAGAAAAATCGCAACATGGATGGCTGCTGGGCATCACCAACCCAGGTTTCAGCAGAGGCGAAGAAGCGCCAGTGAGCCTAATTTCGTGGCGGTCCCGCAAGCTTCGTCGCAAGGCTGGCAACACGTTGTTGTGTGAGAGCATAGCATAGCACTGTCGGCTGCGATGGGGGTTGCTGAGAAGCAAATGGCGATGTGGTTGTCCGTCATCACGGCTGCTTTCGACCCGAAGTCGATTACAGTTGACGACAAAGTGAGCAGAGGACTGCGAGGACCCGGGAGTTTCAAGATCCACAAGTGATTGCTGTTGCAGGTGCGAGGAGTCTGTATGATGCCACTGTGACAGAACAGGCCCAAGGAAACGACGACCGGTCGGCCCTTGACGTAGCGATTATACAAGAGCCCTTAGCCAAACTCCGCGGCAAGATCCGTTGGATACCCCATAATTTCAATCCTGCGGATGCTCTCACAAAATTTAAGGGTGTTCATCAGGAGCCCATGATGAAGCTGTTGTCTAGATGTGCCTTCAGGATCGAAGCTGAACAAAAAAGTTTTGGCACGAGGAAAGCAGTCGTTAGATCGCAAGAAGACCAGGGTCATCAATGCCAAAGATAAGATCCGAGATAGCTTTCCTCAAGGACGTTGGCATTGATTTACACTGCGCCCCGAAGGCCTTGAGTCCGTGGCCCGAACGTGCAAAAAGTGGCAAAAAGGAATGCACCGACTTGTCATAGACACCGGCACATACCGGCACCTTCTCCCAGAATGACATGTCAACCCCGTCCCTTCCGTTTATTCGAATACCCATACAAAGATTAATTACAGAGTTTGTCGTATGCTGGCTGAAGCATTCTTCCGTCAGCGGTGAAGGCCGAGCTGGAGTTAAAGTTTACAGGCGGTCCAACTTGCTTCTGAATCTGCCGGGGCTGACCCCAAAACCCAGTCCTTGTGCGACTATCAGTTGATTGGCACAGTTGCGACCGATGGCGACCGCTATATGTCGCAGCTCATCCCATCAGCGCCAATGTTCAACGTGCAAGTTGCCGTCGAGGCCGCTTCGGGGCATTTCCAGGCCACGACGCCACGGCCCCCTTGCAGCCGCCGGTCAGTCCGGTCGTTCCAGTTCGGCTTTTTGACCACGCCTGTTCTGAACGTCGCAGGCCACCGACTCCCACACACCAGCACACTGTGCTTTCAGTTCCGAGGACCTAACTACCAGCTATGGTTACGCATCGGATCGAGCCAACCGGCTCTAGCACGAAACTCGCAACAGACGTGTCCGTGCTGGTGGTAAGCGGAACACAATTTGGCGAAATTTTCGCGAGAACTCACCCAGTTAGCAGTGGCGAGACTGTGGAGGATGCGCGTGTGGTTTGGGCTACGGTTTGATTGAGGTGCTGCAACAGTCGCGGTGACTCGAGCTATCCTTGTGTGGTTGCCGTGTTGGCACTTCCTGTGAAAGCCGCTCGTAGCCAGCACGTCCGGCGGCGAAGCCGCCGAAAAGGAAGGGGTGCCCTGTCGTCGTAGCCTTGGTAGGCAAGGCAGACGCCGCCTCATGGACAGGAGCTGTCCTTGGCCTCCCTCGCTGTGCCACGCGATGCCACGGTGGGTGCGACGGCACGGTTGAAGCTGGAGGCCAGAGTGCCGAAGGGGAAACTCTTGAGGAATGGAGTGTCGACACTCGCACTCGCAGAGGAGTCTAAGCCCATATTCAGCGCATCGGTGCTTCAGGTGTCGCTGCCTCCATCGAGCCTTTGTGCGTCGGCGGCCACGCTTGCCGCGCTGCCTTTGCCCAGCGGTGACGACCTTGGCCTGGTGGTGGCCCGGAAGCTAGAGACATGGATGCATCGAAAGAGCGTGTCAAATGACACAAACAGACGCTTGCACTCACTACCACTACCCGGGCCACTCTGCTCTCTGTGTCAGGAACTTCGATGGCCCGGCCATCCGGAGAAGCCGCGCTTCGCGATCTTCAAGAACCTGCCCGGCCCCCATCAGCATCATCTGCCCATCTGCTTCGACTCTTAGAGATCCAGGACCATCGTTCTGGAAGCCGGGTTCGGAACTGGACGGGCTCGCCTGGAAGTCTCTGGGCAGGAGATCTTGGAGGCGAGTCCTTGCATGTGAACAGCCGCGTTGCAATGAATCAAATATATAACCTTGGCGAGGTCATCGAAGCTCGGCAGATCTGTGGTGATGTGCCCGATGGGCATCCGTGCGTTCCAGCTCGGGTCCCGGGGGGATGACGACTGCTGAGGAGCTAGAGCGCCAAACCACGTAGCGGCCTGGATACTGATTACAGGCACTGTGGATCGGCTCGCCCTGCAACGTCACCAAAGCTGCCGTCCAACGATGGTTTTTGAAGCCGTTCGCACAAGGCCTTCAAGCTCGTGAACTCTTATGCACACCTGCCCGTTGTCCCGCTACTCAGGCACGGCTTCCCTGCGACTCTGGGACCCCGACCTCTTGGGAGCCCGGCCTCAGCGCCTGGAGATCGCGATTCGCGCAGCCAAGCAGCTCGATGTGGGACTCCTCGGGGAGGCCCTCCTGCCAGATACAAGAAAGCTCCATAGATATCTTAAGCTTCTTAAGCCTTCTTAAGCTAACTTAAGGTGCGGGCCTCCGTGAGCGTTTGCGGCTGACAGGTGTCGGACGTAGGGGTTCGGCGTCTGAGATGCTTCAAGTTGGCATTTTCTGCTTCAGGTCGGGTCGTATGACGTAGACGTATCCATGATCACTCGACACCCTCGAACTTACGTCGTGACATGTCGCGACTTGCAGGATGCATCTGACGGGACAGTCCTGGTCGTGCGTGGGGTGCTCCGGCAGCTGCGAGTGGACATCCGCGATGCAGAGGGCGAGGCCAGAGGGGAAGTGAGAAAAGCGCCCCTGCTCAGAGGTTTCCTCTTGTGCAGGCTCTTGGAATGGTCAATTGGGCCGCGCTGAATCTGAAGCTGAGGAGCAGTGACCCAGGACCGGGAGTTCGGAGACCGTGTGAGAACGAACTTCGGCCAAGACTGTGTTCAATGTTTCTCGCACCAGCACGAACAGAATTCGCCACCTCAGCGTCAAGCAGCATCATTAGCCTGCGATGTTTCGAACACAGTCCAAACCATAACATAGGCAACATAGCTTCAGCCCTGGAGGAGCCTTCGAGGTCCGGGAGAGCACCACGGCCGCGAGATGCGGACACTACGAGTGCTTCGGTGCGATTGGATTTTGCTCTATCTTGCTCAATGTCCTGTGAAGGAGCCGAAATTTCTCTGGCTTCGCTGAGATAAAGAACCGTGCGAGCTCGCACATGCTCGCACTTTAGCCCGAAGCCTTGCAGAGATGGAAGGCATGCTACAACACCACCGACTAGACAAGCATCAGGATCTTGCATTGGAGGTAGAAGGCCAGTCGAAGGCTTAAGAGAGGTCAAGGGCGGCCCTGATTGTGAGATCCATTTGCCTCTGGTCTTTCTGGCCCTTTGTGCAGATGCAGAACTCGAAATGACAAGGTAGAGATTGCAACAGCCAAGGCGTCTGTTCTCTGGCTGAGGTGCATCTGCCACACTCCCGGCATCTATCGCCTCTCAGCCGAGATGCAGGACCAGCGGACCGTCCATCCCACGCGAGACCTGAAAGCGTCTTTTGTTGAAAGGATTATCCAAGTGGCACCATCTACTCGCGAGTCTTGCACGTGCACTGCCTCCCAGAGCACTGCGCTCAAAGAGTCGATGTCGGTGCTCGTGATCTCGTGGAGTCCAAAGCTCTTCATCGCTACTCAGATCTACTCAGGTTCGATGTCGTCTTGAAAAACATTGTCGTGATGCCGGGGCAGGCTTTCGAGCTCGCCTTCACTGGAGGCCCTCCTCGGAGCGACGACCGGACCTTTTTCCGCTTCACGTCGAGCGCCCCGGACGTTGCCAGTCCCGCCCCCAGTGCGCAAGCAACAAGTCTGCGACACTGCTCAGTCAGGGGAGCGTCGTTCAGCGAGGCATCGACGAAGGCGTCGGCCTGGTAATCGCTCTGAGCCCTGGCTCGGCGGATCTCTCGGTGCAGCTTTTAGAGCGAGAGACGCGTCGCGAGATTGCACGGGCAGGACCAGTGCAGTGCGAGTATGTGCGAGTGCAGCATAGCGGAGCTAAGCCCATGGAAAGCTTGGACCAACCGACCTCTGTCTCTCTGTGTGTGTTCTTCGCATCAAACGTGAGTGCCTTAATTTACCTGTTGGATCTACTCTTGAATTTGATGTGTGCGAGGAGCCCATGTGACTGTGGGCATCCCGTGGAACGCTTCGATTGGCGCTTTGGATACCTTAGCAGGAGATGAGCGGCAGCTTAGCCAACGAATCGATCAGTCTGCAGTGCCGTCTTCGCTAGGACAGGCTGAGGCGGCATCGGACGAGGGACTGGTCTTGCGGTGGGGCGGGCCCGAGCCGTTAAGGCTTCGGGTGCGACTATGGTCAGGACTGCGTTCCACCGACTCATACCGACTCGGACGTTTTCTGGGGTTGCACTGCGCCTTCGCTGCGAGGAGAGCTGGAGCTGACGCCGCTATTGCTTGGGATGGCCAGCGCTCAGGCAAGGAGAAAAACGAAAGGAGGAGTCCAATGCGGCGCGCCCGCAGGCATCTCCCTCCTTCAGCGCCGAGAGCAGCCGGAAAGTGTACAAGACGGCACTTGACATGGGCCATCCTGTGGTGGAGGCCGTGGAGGCCGAGGTCTAAAAATTGCCCTTTTGCTTTCGCAATTTTGTGCTACGCCGCACTTCGCGGAGAGAGGCTGCTGCCGTGGTGGCACAGCGCACGGCCGTGGACGAAGGCCTGAGCCTCGCCCCGGACACCGCCGGCGCTGGGGCCGCGTTTGGTGTTCGCTGCCGCTTCCGTTGGAGCTCGGACAGCTCCGTGGTGCTGGAGCCCGTCGGCTTTGGGGCAAGGGCCCAAGCGGTCGCAGCTGCCCATGAGCCTCCGCCTCCCTCTCCAAATCTCCGTATGCCCTTCAGCTGAGGCGCTGGCCGTTGACGTCCGCACGGCACCAGCTTCTGTGACTTTGGCCGGAAAGGAGGCGTCCTTTCCCACGGTCTTCGCACGTTGTCACATCATTCCAAGATTCTACTGTAGCTGTAGGTGGAGGTGGCGGTGCAGATTGACTGCCCTCTGGGTTCAGGATACGAGCAGCTGCACCTGCAAGTCGCTTCACTCAGCTTTTGTCAGTATTTCGAGTAAACGGAAAGTGCAAAGCCCTCCTGCAGAATGAAGCACGAGCTCGATTCCAAGGCGAAGCGCCTGGTTCCTGTGGTGCAGCCGTTGCAGCTCTTGACTCCTGTCACAGGCTTTGCCACACCTGATTCCCATAAGGGTCTAAGCTTCAAGACTGAGGGCATAGCGACCTCCCGAGCCTCTTGCGAGTTTTCGTAGATTGATTGCTCTGGCTTCAGAGTTCGCTCTGAACCTTATCGGTTGCGCCGCAATGTGGCAGGTGTGTGTGCCGCTGCCGTGGATGCTTCTTCCCTGCTGGTGCGGTGCTCCCTTTGCAAAGTGTGGGTATCCTGCTTCTCGTGAGGTGCCTTCGCATGCACGGCTTCCTTTGGCATTCAACCTCCCACGGTCCCATCTCCAGGCCGAAAGATTGAAAGACAGAAAGGGCTTGAACTGTCTTAGATTTCAGGTGGACGTCGTCGGGCGGACTATCCAGTTGCTGGAAACGGGAGACGTAGCCACAGCCTTGAGAGCGCAAAGCCGACAATCCGATGCCCTAATCACGGGAACTCCTTATTGCATCTTCGCGAATGCCCGCCTTCTCTGCGATGCATCTTCTAGAACTGGTGCTAGATGAGCCTGGCTAAGCAGGCGGCGCCCCATCCATCCATCCATCCATCCCGGATCCCCTTGACAGATCTTGAAGGCATTCCTAAGGATGCCTAAGGAACATCTTCATGCGAGCTACGGTAATCATTAGAGCATGTTGGCCTGGGAACCTGGTCTTCTTGGGCAGCAGAACAACGATACACTGATACACTGGTGATTCCCGGCTGTGAAGTGACACATCATACAGTACAGTTTCTTTTCCTTTCCCTTTCTCTTTGTCTCTGCATTGTTTGTGATTCAAAATGCTTTCTCTCTCGATCAGTCTCAGCTCTCTTTGTTCTTTGTCGCTTGTGGCAGGCCATGCGAGTCGGAAAGGTACAGGTGGCTTCATAGTGCCTCTCGCTTTTCAGTGATGCATGCTTATCACGAAAGCTAGCTCCTTGGAGCTTGCGGGAGTTCTTGTTTACAACCTTTTGTTGGGGAGAAATCAGCCCGGCGAGGCCCTTTTGTTTGATAAATCAAGGACTTTTAGGGTCGCACGGGGGGGGTGGCCCCCCCCCTTTTGCTCGATAGAACAGACGCTGGCCGTTTCGATTAGGGGGGGGGAGGGCCCCCCCCCCCTCCTCCTCAAGGCCACCCCCCCCCTCCCGAAGGCCCCCTGCGAGTTGAGCTCTTGTGACTGCTGTTTTTGTGTGTATTGCAGCATGCTTGGTAATTTCTACTGCAGGGTTGGCACGCCGTCTGCCGCCCTGACGCCGAATATAATATTAACGTCTCTCTGCCTTCTTGTTCCTCGGCATTTCAACTCCTTGTCCCTAGCTTTCGTCCGCCCTGCTCTCAAGTACTGCGGGCATACAGAAAGTCTTGCACGCTTGCCATTGCTAGCCCATGAGAAACTATAAACAGAGTCAATCTTGGAGCAACGTGCAATGCTTAAAGAGGCGGGTGTGGTGTGTGCTGTTGCTCTCCTCCTTTGCCCAGATTGAGCTTGAGACCGGATCGGAACTGGGAGACTCGAGCCTTCGAGTGCAGGCCGCAGGGGGACCGGTACTCGCGGCAGACGCGGTGACGCCATCGGCGACGCGCATCATGTCTCCAAGTGCATCGTCAGGCCGTTGACTCGCAGCTCGTTCCCGCAATGCAAATCTCAGTCTGTGCCTCGGCACTCAGCCCGGCTTTGCCGCAGCGCTCTGCTAGCTGGCGCATGTTTGTCAGGTCTTCGTGCGCAAGGCAGGTCAATTGAGAGTAGCGTGACTTGCGTTGTCTTCTGACAAGCTCAGGCAGGTCTCAACAGATGCACACATAATGATTGTCAGTCAAAATCAAAAGCAAGCCTATCGCTTGAGCAAGGGCTAGCTTAGTAAGTCCATCCCCGCGACCAATCGCAGCAGGCGGCGCAGCATAGCCTCAGCCACAAAGCCGTAAAGGACCTTGCCTGTCCACCAGTAAGCGATGCAAGAAAGCTCTGTCCGAATCAGACATGCTCGAGCAAATTTGGCACGGAAGAGAGAAGCTGAACCACCGCCGCGATCTTAAGTCTCGATCGCAAGAAGAAAGATAAGGCTCCAAGAGCCAGAGTCAGGATCAACAGTTGTATGCCGGCCGCTGACTTTACTGCCGGTGTGGCTTTTGCCGCAACGCAGGCGTTTGCAGCGAGAATCGACTCTGTCCCGTCCAGGCACAAGACTCGGAGCCAGAAATCTATTCTGAGTCCGATGGAAAAGTGCCACTGACATTCTTTTTTCTCGAGGCTGCCGCTTGGATCCAGTGCCTTGTGCCCGCTTTATCTCGTCGATGCCGGATGCCTAGAAGCTATGCAAGCCTCCAGACACGTTCGAGGCATCTGCGGTTGACAGGGGTGTGTGTGTGTGTGTGTGCTGAATTGGCCTCATTCAGGGTGCCCCGAAGTGCCGCAGATCGTTGTGCCATGTTGTGCTTCTCCGGCTCTCCAGACAGCTGGTACCACTCGCTGCGAGCAGGCTGCGCTCGAGTAGCTGCGCCCGGTAGCTGAAGTAGCTGTGCTCCCTGCGCCATGAGCTTCTCCTACAGTCCGCAGTTCTTCTTGCACTTTCCCAAGTATCATGCGCCTCACTTGAAGCCTGGGGAGGAGCACAAGGACTGCAAGCCGTTGTTTTTGTCTCTTGGACTTGTTCGTGCATGCTCACTTCTACCTTCGTGGAGGACCCGTTGGACGAGATCAAACCTCGTTGCCTCTCAAGCTGTTCAGACTGGCTCCAGGAGTACAACGGCTGTGTGCAACGCATCTCGATGCGCACCGATGGCAAAGGCGACTGCAAAGGGCAGTTTGAAGAGCTGACCATGTGCCAGGACTGGACCACCCGAGCAAATTGCACAGTAGGAAATTTGCCTATTTCAGGTGTTGGATGTACTAAAACATGAAGTTCATCATGAAGTTATGAAACTGGCAGTGATGTCGAAAACTGCATGCAGGACCACTGCATCGCGCATGAGATATTTCACCACGTGAAGTGAGATGAGACTCTGCCGATTTTTAGGGTGCCAGGCTGCAGAGACGACGAAGGAGCATTGCAGATGGACCCAATCAAAGAAGAGTAAGATGACGATGTTGGTCATGCGCAGAAAAGAAAAGCCTATGCCAAAGCAAGGCTACATTTCCTGGTGCCTGCCTGTCTTCAGTGAGCCACATCGCTCAGGCTAATGGGCAGACTATGGCGCTTCCAAGCAACTTCCAGGTGCAGGGTCTTCGGGTCACACGATCACTCGAAGACTTTTTCAAGCTTGCACCTGGAGAGGTGGACGTCTTCTCCAGTCATGCAGCATTGATGGCAGAGGTTCGTGCCTGGGGCATGGAAACCAGATGAGCAACTGACAAAGTTGTGACAGGTTCATCGCTCTTCGAGAGGGACATCTTTGTACCTGCGACCACTGAGCGAGGTCCGATCTTGACGAGTTTGAGGCGACTGCCCCGATTTGTTATTTTCAGGGATGCGCACTCCTCAGCGCGGCGGTCCGGATGCCGGACGGGAGGTTGGAGACAGCACATGTATAGGTATGGGCATGTGCGAGATGTGCAGGCGGTTGCCTTCGGACGTGGCGGAAATCTGTGTGGTTCGAGGGGTGCTGGTTGGCCAAGGGCAGCTTCTACTACAGCCAGAGTCCCACTGCGAGAACCCAGCCTCCTGTCGGCCGCGGCAAAGAGGTTGAGAAGCCTCCCCGAGGCCTGGCTCACGGCTGAACTTAGATCCAGAAGAGCTCTTCTCAGGCTCGGCTCGGTACCAGTGCTGTCTTGGACCCTAGGAGGTGAAAGAGATCGCCGTCTCGCGGGAGGCAAAGCGAGCGCCGGTCGACCGCCTTTGGCCCCCGGCTCGGACTCGCGACACCACGGCTGCGCCGCTGCGCCGCGGACCAGACTCGAAATGCTGCTTTTGAATTGTTTGGTTTTCCTGCCATGTCTATTGAGGCTTTCTCTCTGCGACTTGCCCAGCTCGGATCCAGGCCACTGCAAAGTCTTGCCTGTACGACGCAGTATCCATGCATCTGCATCTGTCTTCCGAGGCATGCTTGTAGTTGCAGGCATGCTAGGACTGCTAGGAGTCGAGCGTCTGGCTGCGGGCAGGTCCCTTGAGGAGACTGCTGAGAGCCTCGCAGCCGAGGTTGCGGCGGTCTTGACAGGCCAAAAGCCAAAGCTCCCAGAGCCAACTCGAGGAGCCCCCANNCCCCCCCCCCCCCCCCCCATTTTTTCCGCACTTCCTTGGGGCCAGGCGGCCTTTCGAGCCCTGGCCATGGAGCGCTGCAGGCGACAGAAAAGAGGAGAGTGCGACGGAGTCTGCGAGACGGGCGGTTGCTCATGCGAGGTTCGCATGGTCCGTGCGCGATGGTCCGTGAAGCAGGACCGGTGCAGTGACTTGACAATGGAAAGTGCAAGGTCCGGCAGCACGAAGTATCTGATCTTGAAGCAGCACTTGCGTATACGAGAGGAACAAGGAGAACTACTACTTGGAGCAGAAGTCGATCTGCAGGTAGCCGGCATGTGTAAAGGGAGGCTGCAGCACCTTGCGCTGTTCACTCCCAGGTCTCTGCTCGTGAACTTGCTGAGGCAAAGTCTTATCCATCGCCAGAGCTGATGGTAGATGGGATGGGTGTCACCGTTGCAACATAGACACAGATAATATAGGATACTGTAAGGATCGCGCATCTAGAAGCTGCTTCTCCACATGCGTCACTAGTCCAGTTCAGCAAGTCGGCTGTCGGGCCCCAAACTTGGGGCCGATAAGACGGTAAAGAGATGGAAAGCTAAACCTGGGCAGAGCTGGCGAAGCTGCGATCTTTCGCTTGTCAACAGCTTTGCATCTGCTCGGAGGTGGCCGGACGCAGCGCAGAGCTTGGCTTGAGGGACCTTGCAGAGGTTCTGTGGACCTACCAGGACCTTCCTTGCAACGCCATTTCATAGCAGTCACTTGCGAAACTTGAGCATGGCAAGCTGAATGCATGCAGCGATAGCAGGTTGCCAGGAAGGGGACAGGGACCTTGAGACCCTTTGAGTCCCTTTGAGAATCGTTCTTGGAACAGGACGTTCAACCGAACGAGTCGCCGGGCTCCCAGACTTTGTCGGCCCACGCAGTTGCATCAGCTGAAGTCCTGCCAGGTTGCGGCTGTTGGACTTTGGTTGGGGCGTCCGCGCCATTGCAGAGGTGTGAGTCCCAAGCAAAGCAATGCCAATGCGACGGAAGTCACAGGAATCAGAGGTACCACGAATCAGCAGAGAGCTGCGAGCCGGATCCGATATGCTCCGATCACGCGAAGCAGCCATGCGAAGCGCGCGGATCAGATCGGGCTGCCCTGCGAATCGGATCAGACAGGGCACGTATCGGATCACGCAGAAGCCCCTGAATCATTCAGAATTAGATCACCTGCACAGGTGTCAATCAGGGGGCAGGGGGTTTAGGGTTCACGGTTCATTTAGGGTTCAGGGTTTAGGGTTACTCCCTTCTGATCGAGGGGTCGAGCCTGCAGCATCAGGGGACACTGTTTGAGTATTTGCAGCCACAAGGGCATCAGCTGTAAGTGATTTTCCCTTTAGTCTCGCTGCCGGTGCTCTGCGTGGGTCCGTGTCCGTTCGACCACCCCCACCCCTCATGCCGCGTGTCTGAGCCAGTGTCCCCAGCTTGCCAGCTTAGTACCTCACTGAGGGATCAGCTTGGCGGGGCGGGCCCAGGCACTCGCTCAGCGTTCAGGGTTTAGGGTTGAATTTAGGGGCATTAATCTAAAGCCGACCCTAGACCCAAAGCCCGCAAGCAACCCTAAACCCTGAGGCCGAAACCCGAAAGCGTATCAGCACCCCCAAGCCACCCTACACCCCAAACCCCCAAAGGGTCCTTGAACCCTAAACGGTTTCTTTCGAGTGGATTCTGCTGGATTGCTGGTGGAAAAAGGTGCTTAAAAAGAAAAACCGTGAAACCTGGACCCCAAACCCCGAGCCTGAACCCTAAACCAAACCCTGAAGCCGCCAGAATCCCTAAGCGCGAAACCTCAAGCCGAATGCCTTGAACCCGAAACCAAACCTCAAGGCCAGAACCCCCTAAACCCGAAGCCTGACAAAATGGGAGCGCGAACGTTAAACCCCTGATTGATATGTCATATATGTCTGATCTGATTTGGGGATTTGGTGTGATCCGATTCCTTCCCTCTCGCGATGTGATTTCACGTTATGCGGCCTGCTATCCGATTCGCAGCACGCTCGATCCGATTCGCAACGGGCCGTGCGATCCGATTCGTGCCCTGTGGGATCCGGTTCTTAATGCCCCTCACATGCCTTCACATTCTTCCCTTCCTCACCTCTCCCGGAGGAGCCAGCAAGCTCATCGCGTTGCGGTGGCTGTTGCGTTGGGGCCTGACGCAGCCATGCATTCAGCCACGAGGGCGAAGTGAGCAGTGCAGGTCAAGTCGCACTGCCGTGGCTGTTGCGGAGAGGATTCGACCTGCGGCCACCTGCAGCTTCCTCATCGAAAGTCCATGAAATACCCGCAGTGGCATATACGGCGTGAGCTGCCCAACGTGTGGTCCTCAGGTCCACGCCGGATGCGACAGCAGGGTGGCACTCTCTTCAGCCGCGCATTGTCAAAGTAGAGGGACCCAGAGTCACGGCGCTGGCGCTCGAGCCAGGCGTTGTCCTTTGTGCTGCCGTGCTTGCAGGCATTTTGCATGCTGTGCATGTGCGGTGCTTTTTTCAGGAGTTGCGACGCTGCGATACTGCGACGGCATTGTCACGGCCGACATCCAGGCTGCCAAGCTAACTGCCAACTCAAAAGCGCTACAGATGGGATATGATGGGATCCGTTTGTCAATTTGCGTGCATGGCATATCATGGCATCAAGTCCCCTGAAGCAGAAGACGAGTTGCAGTTGTCTGGAACATGGCTTTTGGATGGATGCGCCTTTGCCAGGTCACAGTTGCCCATGCTAGGCAGCTCATGGTGCGCGCTGCTCCGGAGGCAGACGTAAATCTCGAATCGGTTATGCATCCTTCTGCAGTGTGCTGCAGATGTCGGTGGGATTTGCCGAGCTGTTTGAAACGAGTTGTAGTCAGGGCGGGCCATCGCCAGCATTGGTTGCAAGGAAGATTTTCTCAAATGAGGCTGGGCATGTCAACCGCGAGGTGTAGCTTCATGCATAAGGAGTTGGCGATTAAGGTAACACTCCTTCGACTTTCCTATACTTCGTCTTTGCAACTTGATCTGATTTCCATGGCTGTGTTATATAAGTTGTATACTAGTACCTGTGACGCACACCTTTGCCCACCGAGTGCTCACTTTCCATTCTTGTGCATCGTGTCGGAGGCGAACTCAGCGCCGATGCAAGCCAAGTTCCGTGCGTTTCGCGAGGCCAGCGTAATGCATGCTGTCAGTCCGTATACCATCAGTAGTTGTTTTGCATCGCTTTTATAGACATCAGGAGATGGTGAGTCTCAGAGCCTCTAAGAGTCGAAGCTCAGAGCGGCCCTGCGGCAACCCTGCAGGGTGGTTCGGAAGCGGAAGAGTTCTTGCCAGGGCCTCGCCTTGCGAGGCGCAAAAGGCTGCTTTAAGCTCGGCGGATGCTGTGCTGTTTGAGGTCCGACCCATTCCTTTTGCAGAACTTCCACCTCCAGTGCAACCCCACCGAGGCTTCAACTGGACTCGGAAAGACAGCCAAGCCAGCGTGCAGCCTGCAAGCCTCAGGCAGCAATGCTGGAGTTCTTCAACTTCAAGGACTTGTTGAAACGCCTGTCTGTTTGCATAGGTTTCCTTCGTGGCTTAATCGTGATGACCTGCAGCTGAAACATACTTGACTGCAGGCCAGTGGGGATGCCTGCGTGCTGACAGCAAGGGAGCCTTCTGTGACAGCCTTGCAGAGGCTTTCGCTCATGCATGCAGAGACTGGGTGCATTTCTGATTTGCATTTGCTTGAAAAGTGTCCGGCCTTTTGAAGTGGTGGCCGGAGCTGGAACAGGCTGTCTCCAAGTCGCCTCGGCCTTGAAGCCTCTCTACCCGGTAGTATTGGCGGAGGTGCAGCTATGCAAGCTTCGTGCTTCAGTGCTCGAAGCAGCGTGATCCAGGTATTGTTCTCGAGTGGCCCTTCGCACCGCAGTTCCGGATCATCCAGGCGAGCAGCAGACAGCCGTTCTGTGACATTCTGTGACCTTGCGCGTATCTTCGAAGGGATAGTCCGTGCAAGTTCATGGCAAATTCCTGGTTCTTGATTGAACCCCATGTGCTGTGTCAGTGAGCTGCACCTTCTGAGGAGAGCCAACTGCTCGCAAGCGGAGAGGACCCTCTATCGTGATTTGTTACAGCTTGGTTTGCAACGCTGTGAAATGAGTTGGAGTTGGTTTTCAGTGGGCTCAACGCCTGGCGAGGTGTGTGCGACTTTGAGAACTTCCCAGCCAGAAGCCACAGCTCATTGCTCAGCTTGACTTGCACCACCCGAGCTCATCCCGTCCCAAAACTGTCTCTGGACAAACATGTGGTGGTTCGGCTTGTTTCTGACATTTCAGCAGGTCGCGAGGTCAGAAGAATTGCGCAACCTCGCTGCCAGTCTAGGAATTTACCCGGAGCCCTGCAGTTAAGCATCGTGGGTAAGGGCATCAGTGCTCGCATGATGCTTGGACCCGTGGCTCTGGAGTAGTGCCCAGTGGAGGTCATGAAAACAAGCGCTGCCTCGAGTCCGTACATTCTCAGTCAGAAAGAAAATTCAAACTTTCACTTCAGGTCGTCGTGTGGACCGGAGGCCATTCGATTCAGGCCGATCCTCTGAGTCTCTCCCTCTCCCTCTCCCTCAGTTCTCCCTCTGCCTCTCTCTGCTTGAATGTCTATTGTTGGCGACATCGCCATTCGCCTTAAGGCAGACCTGGCCCAGATCCATAGCTCGCTGGGAAACGTCTCTGTGAAGGCCTGGTGGGCCTGGTGACCCGCTGCATCTCGGCAAGTGCGTGGCTTCAGGTCCGTCCATCTCACAAGGGGCCAGAGCCTGAGGACCACGAGCAGCTTCAAACATTCTTGGGGCAGCAGCCTCTGAGGCCATTCGTAGACTTGCGTCTCATGTGGCACGCTGCCGTCGAGTCAGGAGTCTCCGAGGAGGCAAGGCAGTCTCCAGTCTCAGCGACGCAGCGCGACGTCCGTGCAGAGGTTCAGCTTCTGGTCTGGTCCCCCGCGACGAGTCAGGAGGGCGTTGGTCTCTCCAGCGCCGGAAGGGCCATTTGTCCTGGACTTGGCAGGCAAGCAACTGTCGAGTTCGGGTGGAGCCGACGAAGGTGGCAGACGGACACTTGCTGTGCGAAAACGTGATTGCCAGCTTCGCTTTCGAATCCGTGTGTCCAGCTCTCGGCCCTCAGAAAGAAGACAACAATAATTTTTCGAGGCCCGGGGGAAGATGCGAGTCCCGGAGAGGAGGCCGAAAGGTGGCAGGAGCAAGGAGGGGCCAACCACGATTCAGGTCGAGTCTGTCGGCCAAGCATCACATAATCACCGATGCACATGCTGGGAGTATGTGATGCTGCTGGTAGTGCAAAGGGCAGATGGATCAGCTTGGAAGTTTGGCTGCGACGTCATGCACAATGGAATGCAAAGAAGCGGGAGGGTGGGTGGACCAACGTCTGGAAGGAACTCCGACACGGACTTGTGTCAATCTTCGCAAGCTGCAGTCGTCTCTGCTTGAGTTGCGCGAAGTCCCAGCACTGCCCTTGTGCCGCGCATCGGTCAACCAGCATGTGTAACATGTTGAAAAGATGACAGATGTCAATGAAGAGGAGTGTGGATGATGCAGCAGAGACCAATCTTCTATCACAGCAAATTCAGGCGGCTCCTGCCCTTGGGAAAAGTCCAAAACAGCATCCTTCATACATGGTGTTGGTTTACTGTCACGTGGCATACGTTAAGTGTGGACCGAACCCTGCGACTGGCTCGGTCGTGCACCTTTCACCTTTGCCTTGTTATTTGCTGCTTCAGGTTCAGTGTACTCAGCACGACGGCAGGCCTTCTGCTGTGCAGCATCTGAAAGACATGCGTGCTTGTCTAAGCTCAGAGCCGTTGCCTGGCGGAGGTCGGGCTTCGAGCTATGTTTGCTGGCTCTGGCGGTGGCAGCGATGGTTTGGTTTCTGGCGAGGTGGTGCTCGTGGGGTTGCACACAGTATACTGTATACTCGCATGAGACAGACAGAGCGAGAGACCCGGGACTTGCGGGTGCTCGCCCAGTGAGCTTAGGGTCGGACCACCCTGAGCTCCCTACCTCGTAGAGAGAGAGAGAGAGAGAGAGAGAGAGAGAGAGAGATAGAGAGAGAGAGAGGCAGTGCGCGCTCGCGTGCGGGGGAGGGGAGCGCCCCTTCCTTTGTCTGTGTGGAAGGAAGAGAGAGAGGGAGGGGGAGCTTCGACCAACACGAGGCACCCACCACCACCACGGCGACACAACAACAACCACCACCGGGCACGTAACCGAACATGCAAAAGCAGACAGTGGCCCACAAGCCCCGACAGCGGGGAGTCACCAAGCAGCCTGCGCAGCCAAGCAGCAAGGAGCCCCTTGCAAATAAGCAACCAAGCTGCAAGGAGCCCCCAGCAACCACCGAAGTAGCAGCAACGGCAGCAGCACCAGCCGTGACTTTGAGGCCAGGTCAAACAGCACCGACGGGACTACAGCACTGCCCCATGCATCCCCGGCCACCATCTCGTCCAGCAACACATCCGCTGTTCAACGAGCCCAGCATCCAAAGCCAGGAGGCCATGCTGGAGACAACTTTCCTTATAGAAGCAGGGCAAGCGGACCAAGTGGCATGGACAGGGGGCCGTAACCCCTTCGCGGACCGACAGGCAGCAGCGTCCACACAGCACCAACCTCCCACACCCTCCGAGCCCGCACGCGGGTCAGCAGACCCCCAGCAGCCAGCCAAGAGTCTCCAGACGGAAGAGCCAACAGCCAAACGCAGCCGCACAGAAGCAGCAGCAGCAGCGGCACCGTCGAACCCCCAGGAGCCAAGCGCGTACATGGTCCTTCGCGCACACAACTCCTCACGCAGCTCATGCCCACCTTAGTGGGTGACCAAGTCCCCGGTGGCAGCTGAAGCGCTCAACCAGCTGCGAACGTGGACACAAGGACTAGGGGGCACCCTATTCAGCTTGTGCGCGACTCGGGGACGGATTCAGGGGACTCCGCAGGAGGAAGGGTACCCTGGTCCCCACCACAGCCACTGCCACCCAGACCCGAGGGCCAACAAGAGGGGACAGAGCTCAGCTCAGACGACCGGGGACGCACCCCCAAGCTTGTCGGACGGTGACATGCCGGGCACAGAAACGGAAGATGAGATGTGGCGCTTGGCGAGACGGCGGCGTAGCGCTACAAGAAATGACGAGGGCAGAGGGGCGCAGCCGTACCAGGAGGATCCAGGGAGCGAAACGCTGCCCGGACCTCACACAGACGTCGTAGGACCGTAGGATGCATGCAGCTATGTCCGATGACTAAATAGGACCTCTACGTGTTGCGTCAGCACCTCTTCAAGTTGTAGCTGCAGTGCATGCACCAAGTAGGGGACGTAAAAACTCACCTGAGCCACTACACAACCACAAGGGGAGCAGGGGCCTCATTGTGTTGTTCCCCTATTGTGTTGGTTTACCTCTACCCTCTTGTTTCTTGACCCAAAAGGCGCCAGCTCCCAACCACAGCACCACCACCAACACCGGCACGGGGACCTCCCCAACGAGTGTAAACCTTTTCCCTTATCTGGTCTTGACCTTTTGCCTTAGCTTTGCTTCTCCCCAGGGGACCCGTGCCGAGCACAAGCAACACTTCCACACACTGGTAGCAAAGGGTTGAGTTAACAAAAGCTCCAGGGGACAGCCAGTGTTAGTGAAGGTTGACATCAGTGCAGCGCTTTCAGTGTGTGCTTTCTTTCATGGCAGCCCATGGTTTCGCAGCGTCCCAGGAGCCAGCCCTTGCAATGTCAGAGGATACTATAGCAGTCACTCGGCACAGAGCGGGGTCAGCACAAACGTGCCCACCAAGGTGGGTTGAATCGCATGCCAAGGAGGGTAGGCAGGGATTTCGGGGGCCGAGTGCTGACACCCACGCTGGTTTCACCAAACCAACAGACAACGGACCGCGGCGTAGCGCGAGAGCGCAGGGGTTGGGGTCTTAGGACCCTGCCCCAAACGTCGCGCAAGCAAGCAAGCAAGGGAGGGGGAGAGAGAGGGAGAGGGAGAGAGAAAACTGACTCCTACGTTGTCTCACGCCGACCAACAAACGACAGACAGTGCCGTAGCGCGAGAGCGCAGGGGAGCGAGGGGAACCTCGTTCTCCAAACGGCGTGCAAGCAAGCAAGAGAAAATGCAGGTCTGCTGCTACCTCAAACCCCTAGCAAAGCAAAGCAAAGAGAGAGAGAAACGTCAGCGAGCAGAGTGGGGGTTTCTTCCGAGGGTTAGGGGTGAGGCAACACAACTCATGCAGAATTCAGGCAGCGAGGTCGGCGAGGTCTGAGTGCGCAAGTGACGGCGACTTTGCTGATGCCAGTGCAGAGCTGACATGTATCAGTGCAGAGGTGTCTCCGCGTCTGTTTTGGCGCTGGTTGCTCTCGTGTTGTTTTGTTGCCCTTGTGATGTTCCCGTCGCCCTCGCAACGTTCCCAGGTGCTTTGCCTCTCTTCCACAACTTGTTTACAACAAGGCTGCTCGAGCCTGTGTTGCACGCGGGACCCATCCCCATCCCCACTACTCAACACACGCGACGACGACGAGGACGAAGACGAGAACGACGACAATCCCTTTTCGGCCTCCACTTGAGCCAGTCAAGCATCGACTGCTTGCTTGCTGCAGCCCCGGTCACGGTCTGCGTGTGTGTGTGTGTGTGTCAACGCCTGGACATGGAGACTAGGCGACCTGCGAGTACTACATCCACCGACGACGACAGCAGAACCACACGACCAGGGAGCCCAAACCAGAAGAAGCAGCGCACTCCCCGAGGCACCCGCTGCACGAGGGGCACAAGTGTGCCCAGCAACGGTTTGGGGTCGAACCCACAGCAACCTTTGAAGAAACAGACCGGGGAGACACAGAAACGGTGGCGTGGTACCCAGCCGGTGGAGATGGAGAAACTGGTCTGTGGCACCCAGCCAGCGGAGCGGAGCACTACCTCAACAGAGAGTGTGAAGCAGAGGAACTGAACACAGTGACCCACCGGCGCCGTAGAATGCACGCAGCTTGTTTCATATGACTACGTCGGGGCACCCGCCTTGCTCTCCCCGCCATGGCATGCACCCGCTGTGAGGGTTTGCGCACCAGACAAGCTCTAACACAGGGGCGCCCGCTCAGCCAAAGTACCTGCTGCTAGTGCACAGGTTCAGGGTTGAGCGAAAGGTCGCAGGCAGTGACAGGGTACAGGTTTCCGTTCGGGATGCAGGCAGGGATAGGCAGGTAGGTTGGGTTAATGTAAAAAGCACGCGAAGAGGGGGCACAACGCTTCGCAGGGCAGGGTGTTCGTTGTGCTTCGACAGCCCCCTGGCAAAGGCAGGTGGGAACTCAGTCCATCTCAGCTCTGAAAAGGCAGGAGCACCCAGCCTCAGGTTCAGGGGTGAGTAGAAGATCGCAGGCAGTATTGAGCTGGGGGTCAGGTTTCAGTTCGGGACACGGAGTTTTTTTGTGGCTTGTGCCGTTTTGCCGAGAACCCTGATGCCGACCACTCCATAAAGCAGGGTGTGGCAGGGCAGGCCCATGGCCTGAGCATTGCATGCCGACTCCTCTGCCCTGCAGACAGAAAGAGAGGCAGACAACACACAACCTCTCACAACTTGCCCAACATGGTACGCGGACCCACGACGTTGTCATGCCCCCTCCTGAGGTTCCTTCGACAATTTTGAACCCTATCTCCCTTGCTTACCCCAAGCACTGCTCAAAAGAGTTTCGGATTCAGACCAGCTGGTCTAGGCGAGGACATGGGTCATGAGGGCATGTGCAGTTCGGGCATGTTCGGGTTTTTTCATGCCATGTTTCACGTTGACCCCAGACTCGGACTAATCATTAAAGGCATAGCGGCATAACGCTGTGCGCAGAAAGAAGAGGCTTGATGCCCTGACCCCGAGACGCCTTGCAAGCCAGCAAGCAAGCAGGCAGGCAGGCAAGCAAGCCAGCCAGCCAGCCAGCCAGCCAGCCAGGACGCAAGCAAGCAAGCAAGCCAGCAAGCCAGCAAGCAAGCCAGCCAGCGAGCGAGCGAGCAACCAACCAAGAGAGTCAGAGAGAGAGAGAGAGAGATAGACCACCTGTGCCCGGGAGAGAAGAGAAAGAGGTGTGCGCTCGCGTGCGGGAGGGGGGGGCGGTGGGGCTTGCTCCGTCCCTTTCGCCAGAGAGAGAGAGAGAGAGAAGCACGCGACCCCTAAGCCTTGCAGAAAGAAAGAAAGAAAGAGAGAAAGAGACGTTGTCCAACCATGTCCAACCTACAGAGACTCTCCATCTGTCAAAATAATATAAAATAATGGATGGGGTAGCGCCCTGGAGCGCGGGGTAGCAGGTCTGCTGCTACCTCAAACCCCTAGCAAAGCAAAGAGAGACGTTGTCCAACAATCTGTGTGGATTGCCTTGGCTAGGTTTTGAAGGCGTCGCTGTGAATGCCGTCGCGAGTTTTCTTTTAGTCATGTAAGCGAACTGCGGCTCAGCTTTTATAGGTCTAGAACCCAACCCAAAGTCGCAAACTCTAAATTAGGGATTTTGTGTTGATTGGGGTGCTTTCTGCCTGCTTTGGCTTCCTCGCGCAGCAAGCGTAGCTAAACGTCGCGACCAGCCTTCTCAGGCAGATGCAAAGATTAGGTACTCGCATCTATTTTGGAATATTTTGGATGGAAAGTTTGGGAAGGTGCCCAAATGCCGGATGGGCATGGCTGAAAGAGTTTGTTTCGCGGGAATTCCCGAAGCCAGGTCTTGCTCCAGGCCACCCCCTGCAGATGGAAGTCCAGGTCTTCTAGCTCCATTGGGCATGCGGCATGAGCGGCATGAACCAAGTTGCCTGACTTGCGCCTGCGCTGAGGCTCTGGACTTGGAGCAGCCTTTCAGGGCGTTGGAGCCGGGCCGGTCTTCAGCCAAAGACTCACTTCCCAGTCTCGAGTCGCTGCAGCGCTGAAGCTGAAGCCATGAGGTGGTGATCCCTTTGGTGGCCCTCGTGCGGCGGACACCTCAAGGGCCCTTGGGTAGAATGCGAAGAAGCCTTGCTGAACCTTATCAAGGTCTCCCCGTTTCAAGCATTAGGCCGTGAGCTCAGCTCCGGGCACTGCGCAGCGTCTCGCCAGAACCCTGGGACCTGCAGGCTGAGACGAGACCGTGCTCTGAGCCAACCGTCGGCAGAGAACAAAATGGACTGATTTCTTTCAAGATGTTGCTCTCTAGAAACGGGCCCTGTTTCTTCCGAACTCGAACCTAGCTAGGCCTTTCGACAAGAGCCTCAGTGGTTGGCACCGTTGCCCATTTTCAGACTGTTCGGGTCGCATACGTAGCGGATTTGTGACAGCTCGGGCGGGCGGTTTCGTTCTTTCGTTCCAGTGCGAGCTGATGGTTGTGTTCGCGGCCTGTCTGAAGTGTAGGCTTAGCCGAGATCATGATCCCATCACACTGAGACAACTCAGGCATGGGTTGGATTGACACCAGGTCGAAGGTGCGAGGGAAACAACTCATATTGGTAGAATCTGCTGGAGGTAGTTCTTCACTGACCCTATAGGCCCTAGGCTTGCCACCACCGACGATTTCCCGAAGATTCCTACTGTACAGGTCATGTTTGGTCTGAGCAATCTTGTGCCATGCGAGATGCAGTGAAGCCGAAAGCCTGCATAGCCTGCTTTCCGCGACACCGCTTGTGCACGCCTCGTCTTCCCAGCGGCAGATTCCATTCCTGCTGCTCTTGTCCGACAGCGTTCGCATGCGTTTGCCTTATGTCCTCCCATCGAGGTGCATATGCTGTTGTGGTCCGTCTGACGAATACCGAGAATCGGCTGATGTCTTCGCTTCAAGCGACTTCAAGGATCTTGGCATGAGCATGTTGTCGCAGCATCTCAATAAGCCTTGGATGTTGGAAGTCCTTGCAGGAGACGACACGTTCTGACGCCGAGAAGCCGGGAGCATCGCCTTCGGAAGAGCATTGGCTGCAGAGGCGCTTGTGGCATTAAAGCTGGAGATGGAGTTTATTTAGTGTTTACACTACGTTGAACATACTCCTGACGGGGAAGCTGCTGGATTTCGCTGTGAATCCTCTGGTTGCCTGGGGTCAGGCATTGACATTATTTTACCTTGATGCATCAAACATACTGCGGTCGGAGTACTCAAAAGAGCAACTCTTGCTGTGTTGCGAAACCTTGCCCACTCCTACCATGCTCGAACGCAACCAACAACAATTACAGCCGCGTGTTCGTACAGGAGGGATATTAGTGATATTACTGTTAGCTTTGCATTGTTGTTCTCCCTTTTTTGCGGGGGCCTCCGGGAAGGCAGTGCGCAGGCAATTGGAGTACACTGTCCCATCAGCCACTTCATGCACGTCTCTTGACAAGAGAGTTTCCCTGGTCCTACACAAAATTCAATGGGCTCTCAGCTCCTTGGCATCCCCCCACGGATCAGGGGACTTAATACGCTGGGTGATACGTGCTTTGCTTGGGTTTCTAAGCCTATACGTCCACTTATCAGATGCCACAAATAGCTAACTATCTACAACTCTCTTTGCCTACGTTTGGGCTTCGACGCCATATCATATGATATACAGGCAGAACATCGAACTCTCGCCTACATAACAAACTCTTGTAGGAAAAAGCACAACAATTCATAATGAAGTAGAAACTCATATGATATGATATAGCACAATATGTAATATGTAATATGATATACTCATATACAAAAACTTTTGTCATATATTGTACGAACAGGTAATGACAAATATAGCATTACGATTTATCATAATAGATAGATAGATAGATAGATAGATAGATAGAGAAAGAGAGCGAGCGTGTAAATATATATATATGTGTATATATACATCTATATATTACCCTTAGTGAGCGACTCTGCTTGCAAGGGAGTGGCACGTGTCTTTCTCAGCGCCTTTTCCCTAAAGAGGAGTTTTGGCTCAAGCCTTCCAGCTTGTGCCATGCCTGGGCCGTGGATTTCAGCGGCCACGGACCCGGAGGCGTGGAAATCATCTGCTATTGAGGTAGGCGACTACCTCGAATTCCACGCGTATGACGTTTCCCACACCGTGCTGGGAAGGGTGGATAAGATCGAGCCGAGGACCTCGGAAGGCCAATGGGCCGAGATGACTTTCCTGGCGGTGTCAGGCGATCACCTTCTATGGTGGCTTAATTCGGGGTCTGGCAAGGATGAGAACTGGGAGTTTGAGGTCCACTTCTGCAAGAGTGGAGAAGATCAGGTCGTAAAAGTCGCCGGGGCCGAGCCCTGGATTTCCATACAGACAAGTTCAGGAACGTTCCCCTTGGTCACCTCGCCGACCATCGTATAAATTGGGTCAAGAAGGGCCCGTGCAAAAAGTATGTGGATGAGGAGGTTGCAAGGATGAGTGGACAGCGGCCTAAGGGCCAGGACGAGACACACCCCGACACGGGCCAAGGCCTAGGGTTTGAAGAGGCGGTTCTCCCGGTGGCTGGCGCCGAGGATCCGGCCTTGAAGAACCTGTCCGAGCTGGAGAGGGAGCTCGGTACGCCGAGGAAGACGCTCAAGAAACGGGAAGCAATTGACCACCATGGTGGAGGAGTTGTCCCACCTAAGGGGGAGGACTTGGTTGACCCGAACAAAAAGAAGAAGAACAGAAAGAAAGCGCGCGCTGACACCGGCCATGGCCGTGCCAGGTCAGGTCCCGACTCCGGCAGAGGACAATGGTTCGGACAGGAAGTGGGCCATGTTCCCAAGGATCGGTCCCTTTCTGACTCGTCGGGGGTGTCTTCGTCGAGTCCCTCGTCGAGTGAGGATAAGTCTAAGAAGAAGAAGAAAAAGAGGAAGGAGAAGCGCAAGGTCGCAAAAGACAGGGGGCCTTTTGGGTCTGGTACAAAGGTTGACTACGCTGGAAGTGTCCAGCGGTTCCTCTGACAACGAGTCGCTTTTTCGGGACGCCCCTCCTCTGGGAATGGAACCAGTCTGCAACTGCAGCTTCAGGAGTATGCCCTGAAGCGTCCAGGCAGACTGGCGGCACGGCTGCTTCAGAGAATGCAAGCCATGGTCGGAAAGGAGGGGGGGCAGATTCAGGGCAAAGGACCGGGCAACCGGACCCCGCCAGTCCGAGGGGCCGAACCTCCTGGAAAGGGATGAGGCTGTTCTTGCGTTAAAGGAGTGGGCCGGCGAACTGCGGCCGTCTGATGAGGAGGTTCCAAAATCATGTTCGGCCCACGGGCCAGGCTTCCCGCACGGGGGTGATATACTCCCGGAATTAGGTTCGGCCTACGAGCCAGGCTCCCCCCACGGGTGCGCTTTACTGTCTACACTCCACGAGGGGTACGACCATTTAGGAATGGTGGAGCAGGAAGAAACTGATGGTGAAGGGTCGAGACCGGCCCATGAGCCAGGCTCCCCCCACGGGGGCGATGTATCCTGTGTGCTCCTCAAGGGATACCACGATTTTGAGATGGTACATCGTGGAGTGAGTGAAGACGAAGGGCTCTCTACTGGGAAGGTTGCGAGTGGCTATTGGACGACTTTTTGCCGGGTTCTCCGTGAAGAGCTGGAAAAAGGGGGCTATCGTGGAGATACAAGGAGGGGTCGCTGGGAAATTTCCTCCGGGATGCGATGATTAGCCTCAGGTCGGCCCTCGGCACATTCGTGAGGGAGTACCAGCGAACTTGTGACTTCCTTCCCCTCCACCCAGCGCTGGTGCATCCGGGGCAGGAAAGCGTCTCGGAAGGGAACGATGAGGGGGTCCTCGCTGTCCCGCGTCCCTTCAACTTCCTGTTCGTCTTCCAATGGAGGAGGCTATTGGATATTCGCGTGAGCCCGACCCTCGCGGACATCCGGCTCAGAGCGTTGCCAAGGTTTGGAACACAGGACGGCCGGCAGTGCGCACAGGTATCTCGTCGAAGGCGACAGCTAATCTGTGTGAGAAAAGCTGCAATCTTTCAGGGCGGTCGGCCGTGCGCATGCCGGCCTTTGATTCTGACAAGGATTTTTTGGTTGGGCTTGACCCCGACACGGGGGTTGACTTCGACCTCCGGGACTGCCACGCCCTGGACTTGGAGATTGCCTTTGATCATCTGAGGCAATACCCCCTGCCCCACACAGAGCTCTTTATTAGACACGGGGGCTTTGCCGACAGGGCGACAGACCAGGAGTGAAACGAAACAGAAGTTGCCGGTTACGACCGAGTTTTGTTCGACGCTGTGGATGAGGGGAATATCCCCTTCGATAGGAAGGGCCACCTGACCACCAATGGTCCCGGGGCGGACAGTGAGTTGGTGGAGGGCTCGGGAAGGTCTATATTGCGTCATTTGGACGCATCTCGTACGAGATCGCTAAGGTTCCTCCCCAAGGGGATGGTAACGAAGGTTTGCCCTTCTTGGATGAAGGAAACCAAGCCAAGTGGCATTTAGACAACTTCGAGGAGAATCGCCTTTCCCGCGAAGGAGGGACTTTCTCGATGGTCTGCAACCATGGCTCCTGTAACGTACGAAATTGTTGGAACAACTGGCAGCATCAACCCGGGGACTTCTGCTTCCCCGCGGGCTACACTAACAATCCAAAGCATGAAGCCATGGCCCTCTGGCGATCCACCACGATGTTGAGGAGAACCAACACCGACCAGTTGAACGGCCATCCGAAACGAAGCCTCGCCCTTCTGGAGCACCCATGCCACTTTTTCTTATGGGAACCACAGGGAGCGAGTTCCCTCTATGGAGGAGCCTGGCAGTGGTCCGCGCTGTCCTATTGCTGCCATGGCGGAGACAGAGAAAGTTGGCTGACCGTGGACCTTAACTCAAGTTCCCGGCTCGCGGCCGTCCACAAGCCAGAAGGTGAAGTCCACCCGCAAGTGCCAAACCGAATCCCGGCCTTTGCCATTGAAAATCGGGATGAGTATTCCTGGTCATTCTGTTGGGCCTTCATGAAAGGTGTCCCCGACATGTCCTTGGCCTGGCCAATCTGGTGCAAGGCTATTTCCATGGGCGGGATGTTTCATTGCCAGCTCAAGGAAGCGGCTCGTGGGTTCCTAGCGGGTTCGGATGTTGCTGGGACTGTATCCCTACCCACAGAATTCGCGCAACCGATCTGCACCATGAAAGAGGCCCAACTTCTTGGGTGGCTTTTGCGCCACTCGTATCTTGTCAGGGGTGGCTGGCGTTTCTCCAACCGAAGGATGGTGGAGGTTGGCCATCGGCCTGGT